ATGCACTGTTCCTATAGTTACAGTTTGTGGGGTTCGAATGCATCCACAACTAGTTCGGAGGAGTCTCATCGCCGTCACTTTAGCCGAAGTCTGTGTCGAGTGGTGTTCGGGTGCGCTGTTCTCCTGGTGATCCTGGCAGTGTTGGGGATCGTGGGCATAGCAGTATACCTCGGAGGTAAGCCCTTACTACATAGCAGTATACATAGCAGTATACCTGGGAGGTAAACCCCTCATCCCGCCTCCTCACCACATACCTGCACATGTGAATTATTAATTAAAAACAGGAAGACAATTCGTTTATTGTTTTATTTTGTTCACGTTTTGATGTGATGTAGGAGCGGTTATGGACACGTAGCCTATGCGTTAATTCTTCCCGCGCAAGAATATATATGATTCTTGACGCTGTAAACAGAATTGTTGCAGTTGGTTTGCTTGTTGCAAATTGCTCTCCTTGTTTACCTGTTTATTAAAATATAAGCCGGTTATAATTTCATTTACGTCATTTTTTGTTTTATCTGATTTGTAAAAATATTAATTGTTAAATTGTTATATTATTTACATTGAAAATAAATGTTTTTAAATAATGATAAGGTGTATGTTCAGTATTTGTATTATCAACTAATATATTTTGTTATGCGTTTGCAGTGCTGACAAATGAAGACGAGGGGTCAAGGTGTGAGTACTGAGTCCGACTTCCTGTTAACACACACACACGCACACACACACACGCACACACACACACACGCACACGCACACACACACACGCACACACATTGAGAGAGCAGTTAACACATACACACACATGTTTCGGTCCGTCCTGGTCCAGGACGGGCTGAAACATCGTCGTCCCTTCACCTTCTAGTGTGTGGTCTGGTCAACATACTTTAGCCACGTTATTGTGACTCATCGCCTGCAAATTGTTCGCGACTTTTGTTAGGCCAAAGCTAGAATATGCAGCTGTTGTGTGGTGTCCATATCTTAAGAAGCACATCAACAAACTGGAAAAGGTGCAAAGACACGCTACTAAGTGGCTCTCAGAACTGAAGGGCAAGAGCTACGAGGAGAGGTTAGAGGCATTAAATATGCCAAAACTAGAAGACAGAACAAAAAGAGGTGATATGATCACTACGTACAAAATAGTAACAGGAATTTATAAAATTGAAAGGGAAGATTTCCTGAGACCTGGAACTTCAAGAACAAGAGGTTATATATTTAAACTAACTAAACAAAGATGCCGAAGAAATATAAGAAAATCACTTTCGCAAACAGAGTGGTAGACGGTTGGAACAAGTTAGATGAGAAGGTGGAGGCCAAAACCGTCAGTAGTTTCAAAGCGTTATATTACAAAGAGTGCTGGGAAGACGGGACACCACGAGTGTAGCTCTCATCCTGTAAATACACTTAGGTAATTATACACGGGGGGGGGCCTCGTGGCTGAGTGGACAGCGCTCCACTCAACCTTTTCGTAGTCGAAATAGTCCGGGTTCGTTCCCCGGCGGAGGCGGAAACAGATGGGCAGATTTTTTTTTACCCTGATTTCCCTGTTCACCTAGCAGTAAATATGTACCTGGGAGTTAGACAGCTGCTACGGGCTTCATCCTGGGGATGTGTGTGGGTGTTTTAGAGAGAAATATATGTAGTAGACATAATAGAGGAAAAATAAATTGGTTAGAAAGGCGGGGTCCAAGAATGAATAGCTCGATTCTGCAAATACAAATAGTAAATACACACACACACAGATATGATATGATACATATGATAGCATAGATATATGATAGCAACATATAAAATACTTAGGATGATTAACAGAGTGGAAATAGACGACATGTTCCCACGGAATACCAACAGAATAAGGGGACAGCAGTGGAAGCTGGTTAGTTAGTTCAGTTAATTTATTATGCACCCCATACCCATCCCGTGGGCGGTAGTGGAAAGGGTTACAGAGGCACATAATGGGCTCAGGGACTGGAAACTCGGATGTGTCACAGAGATGTTAAAAAGTTCTCTTTTAGCATGAGGGTAGATCGAGGGACAATGGAACGAACTAAAGGAGCACATTGTGGAAGTAAACACTATTCATAATTTTAAAACTATGCATTATAAGGAAGTAGGACAGGAGGTATTCTTTTAAACAACCGGCGGCTAGAAAGGCTGGGTCCAAGAGCCAGTGCTCGATCCTGGAGGCACAAACAGGCGAGTACACACACGTGGATGGGTTACGTGCGTATATTAGGTTTATATCGAGTTCAATTCAATTTAATTTATTTCTTTATTCTTTATTATGCACCCCCATACGTGGGCGGTGGTGGAAAGGGTTACAACTGCACATAAGGGGTTCAGGAACTGAACCACATAGTTCGTTTAGCTAAGCATGTGACAACCTTTTGAAGCTATATATATATATATATATATATATATATATATATATATATATATATATATATATATATATATATATATATATATATATATATATATATATATGCGAACAAGCCTGAATGGTCCCCAGGACAATATGCAACTGAAAACTCACACCCCAGAAGTGACTCGAACCCATACTCCCAGAAGCAACGCAACTGGTATGTACAAGACGCCTTAATCCACTTGACCATCACGACCGGACAAAATGAGGTGATAGCCGAGGCTATTTGAACCACCCCACCGCCGGCACTCGGATAGTAATCTTGGGCATAGCATTTTACCAAATCACCTCATTCTTTGGAGCACACGTGAGGAACACAAATGCGAACAAGCCTGAATGGTCCCCAGGACAATATGCAACTGAAAACTCACACCCCAGAAGTGACTCGAACCCATACTCCCAGAAGCAACGCAACTGGTATGTACAAGACGCCTTAATCCACTTGACCATCACGACCGGACAAAATGAGGTGATAGCCGAGGCTATTTGAACCACCCCACCGCCGGCACTCGGATAGTAATCTTGGGCATAGCATTTTACCAAATCACCTCATTCTTTGGGGCACACGTGAGGAACACAAATGCGAACAAGCCTGAATGGTCCCCAGGACAATATGCAACTGAAAACTCACACCCCAGAAGTGACTCGAACCCATACTCCCAGAAGCAACGCAACTGGTATGTACAAGACGCCTTAATCCACTTGACCATCACGACCGGACAAAATGAGGTGATAGCCGAGGCTATTTGAACCACCCCACCGCCGGCACTCGGATAGTAATCTTGGGCATAGCATTTTACCAAATCACCTCATTCTTTGGGGCACACGTGAGGAACACAAATGCGAACAAGCCTGAATGGTCCCCAGGACAATATGCAACTGAAAACTCACACCCCAGAAGTGACTCGAACCCATACTCCCAGAAGCAACGCAACTGGTATGTACAAGACGCCTTAATCCACTTGACCATCACGACCGGACAAAATGAGGTGATAGCCGAGGCTATTTGAACCACCCCACCGCCGGCACTCGGATAGTAATCTTGGGCATAGCATTTTACCAAATCACCTCATTCTTTGGGGCACACGTGAGGAACACAAATGTGAGTTCTGATGTGAATGTCTGGGGTGTGAGTTTTCAGTTGCATATTGTCCTGGGGACCATTCAGGCTTGTTCGCATTTGTGTTCCTCACGTGTGCCCCAAAGAATGAGGTGATTTGGTAAAATGCTATGCCCAAGATTACTATCCGAGTGCCGGCGGTGGGGTGGTTCAAATAGCCTCGGCTATCACCTCATTTTGTCCGGTCGTGATGGTCAAGTGGATTAAGGCGTCTTGTACATACCAGTTGCGTTGCTTCTGGGAGTATGGGTTCGAGTCACTTCTGGGGTGTGAGTTTTCAGTTGCATATTGTCCTGGGGACCATTCAGGCTTGTTCGCATTTGTGTTCCTCACGTGTGCCCCAAAGAATGAGGTGATTTGGTAAAATGCTATGCCCAAGATTACTATCCGAGTGCCGGCGGTGGGGTGGTTCAAATAGCCTCGGCTATCACCTCATTTTGTCCGGTCGTGATGGTCAAGTGGATTAAGGCGTCTTGTACATACCAGTTGCGTTGCTTCTGGGAGTATGGGTTCGAGTCACTTCTGGGGTGTGAGTTTTCAGTTGCATATTGTCCTGGGGACCATTCAGGCTTGTTCGCATTTGTGTTCCTCACGTGTGCCCCAAAGAATGAGGTGATTTGGTAAAATGCTATGCCCAAGATTACTATCCGAGTGCCGGCGGTGGGGTGGTTCAAATAGCCTCGGCTATCACCTCATTTTGTCCGGTCGTGATGGTCAAGTGGATTAAGGCGTCTTGTACATACCAGTTGCGTTGCTTCTGGGAGTATGGGTTCGAGTCACTTCTGGGGTGTGAGTTTTCAGTTATATATATATATATATATATATATATATATATATATATATATATATATATATATATATATATATATATATATATATATATATATATATATATATATATATATATATATATATATATATATATATATATATCCATGTACACAAATACATCAAATACATGCTCATATCAGTAATCATTTTATAACACAAGTGATTCAACAAGGAGGCTCACAACAGTTTCTATACAAGGCACTTTACATCTATGGTGAGTCACGCAGTTACTAGTCTTGCTCCACACCCACCCAATCCAACTACTTGGGCTGGACGGTAGAGCGACGGTCTTGCTTTCTCAAACAAACTTTTCTCCAGGTCGGCGTTCAATCCCCGACCGTCCAAGTGGATGGGCACCAATCCTTTCCCCCGTCCCATTCCAAATTCTTATCCTGATCTCTTCCCAGTGCTATATATAGTCATAATGGCTTAGCGGTTTCCCCTGATAGTTCCCTTCTACACCCATATTATAATAATCCCTACCCTATAAGAAGCTGTCCACCCAACTAGGTGGCAGCTTTACAGTCATGTGCTTGCAATACCTAGAGTAAGCAAATTTTGGATACTTTGCTAAGATTTATGGCAGTACATCATTATGAATGAAGTACTTACACATTTCTTAGGCTCCATTGATGATGTTATCTCTGAATTCCGTGATTTTTTTCACATCCCATTATATAATGATGCAAAGTATGCAATTCAGTAGTTCTGCTGACAGAGTTTACATTTAGTCCCACTCATATACATGTCTAACCCACGTTTGAAACAAACAGCTGCGCGTGTTAGTGGCTTTACAAGACTGTAATTACCATAACTGTATCCTCACATTCCTTATGTACATTCTTGTATATGCATAAATAAATAAATAAATAAATAAATAATCAAGGGACCCCACCTCCACCACACTACATGGTAATTGGTTCCACAAATCAACAACCCTGTTACCGAACCAGTATTTACTCAAGTCTTTTCTAAATCTAAACTTATCCAATTTATACCCATTGTTTCGTTTTCTGTCTTGTGTTGATACTTTTAGTATTCCCTTTGTTATGCCCATTCATGCACTTTTAAACCTCTATCATGTCACCCCTAGTTCTTCGCATTTCTAGAGAATGTAATTTAAGCTTTGTCAATCTTTCTTCATATGACAGGTTTCTAATTTGAGGGCTTTACTTTATCATCCTACACTGGACACGTTCTAGTGAATTTATATCCATTCTAAAGTACTACGACCAAAACTGAACTGCATAATCTAAATGGGGCCTAACCAGAGCAAGATATAGCTGAAGAACAACACCAGGTGTCTTATTAGTAATGCTTTGATTAATAAATCCCAGTGTCCTATTAGCCTTATTACAAACATTTATGCATTGATTTTTTGGTTTTAAATTCTTACTACTCATAACTCCCAGATCCCTTTCGCAATCCGACTTCGCAATCTCAACAACTAGCTCAGGCTCGTATCTTGTAACTCTATCATCATTACCTAGCCTCAAAACCTTACATTTATCAGCATTACTCTGCATCTGCTGAAGTAGATGCTTTGGCAGATGCATGTAGAATTACTACGCAATTTCCCCATGCACTTGGGCTCTGTCAATAAGCTATTCTACCTCTTCGCCCTTACTTCATTACACACAGAAATCACAATAGCATGATGCATCAAATGAACAAATCCATAAGGTCCGTGATGAGGGTTCGAACTTACGTCTGAGAGGATCCCAGACGCGCCTTAATCGACTGGGCCACGATATTGTAAAAGAATTGCATGTTTACATTCTTGTAAAGCCACTAGTACGCACAGCATTTCGGACAGTTCCTTAACCCTTAAACTGCTCAGCATAAGGGGCTGAGAAGTGAAAAATATTCAAATTATGTAAAAATTACTTTAAAATGTTAAACAAATCTCCAACTTATTGGCTTCAGCGTCATGAAACTTTCATAAAAATATTTTCAAAAATTGATTTTAGACGATTTTTTTTTTTAAAGAAGAACGTTTTGTTGAAAAAGTCCTTAATCTTAATTTTCCTTGAAACACGACCTGCAAAATCGTTTAACGACCAGGTACCTATTCACTGCTGGGTGAACAGAGGCATACAGATAAGGACTAGCACCTAGTCAATCCTCCCTGCCACAATACGAACCCAGCCCAAATCGCTCGCGAAGCATGGGGCGAGTGTCTTACCACTGCATCACAGAGACTAAGAAGGGCTCATAAATATGTTGTGGTGGAAGTGATATATGATACAGTACATTCATATTGTAATCATCAAAATACAATGCTTTATGTATGCTTATTATTTTAGCACCAAAATCCAATTGATAGGAAGCTCATATAAAGATTTTGTCTTGGCAGTCGAAGTGCGGTACCGAGGAGAGCTGGTGGTGATGCGAGGGGACTCATGGATCCCAGACCTGGCAGTACTAGAGTCACCAGCCTTCAAGGCTAAGGCCACCAAGTACCAGAAGATGGTAAGTCTCACACACACAACAGCCTCACAGGAGGATCCCTTCCTACATCATACTAGCACATTAAGTTACAATAATGCTACAGAATTAAATATACCCAAGCATAAGCAGATTATTCAGTAAATACAGGCTACAGACAACATACTGCATATGAATGTTCCCATACCTTGTAAATGCTACAAATGAAAATTTATATATAAAGTTAATCATACTTTATCATTGAACATGACTGCTTTGATAGTCGACACCTATTTTATAAATCTGACCATAAAGTCATTAAAGTACCAGTGATTGTGTAAGTAATTATTACATCAATTCAGGCAGCTTAGAAGTAATATAAATATAACTATAATATAACATAAATATTAGATGTAATATAAATATTAGTATGTAATATTATATTAGTAATATTAGTAATGTTATAAATATTAGTAACTTCTAAGCTGCATCACTTATGAACCCATCCCTGCCCTTGTGTGGCAGTGCACAATAGAAAGTTGTTTTCACATATTCATACATTAAAGCATTGATTGTAACCATGATATATTGTACATGCGCTTCAGCCTACAGTTTAGACCCTCTGTCCTGCGTGACAATGAATACCAGCATTATCCTCACTTTAATAAGGCTTAATTGAAATCCTCCAATTAGACAAAATTGTAATTAATTTTGTCAATAAAAATGTTAATAATAATAAGTCAATTCAGGCAAAAGAAGGCACCAAACCAGAAAGAGTATGTAGCCAGTGATTATCTATGACTAAACTGATAATTTATGAAAAGTTTACTTCTTACTTTACTTAACTTTACAAAATAATTTGACAGTAGCAACAACAATGTATATTAATAGTAACAATTTATTTAGACAAAGTACATACACAGGTGTATGATTCCTAGATAAGACAAGTACAATGCCTAGAGCCACTAATACGCGGAGCATTTCAGGCATAATGTGGAAAAAATGATGAAAATATAGAAGCTCAATGGGCTAACATAAAACTGAATGATATCAGAAACATTAATGAATTGAAGTAGAGATGCAGCGTTAAGGCGTCCATGGTCATAGGCTTGCTGATTATATCTGTTTGTTCATAATTTTGTGTTTGTGTATTCATTTGTACCAGTATGTTCATCACCATTTTACAAGTATAATAAAATCTTGTTTTTCAGTTTTTGACTGTATATGAGAAGAGCTTCTTGAAGGGGTCTCTGCGAAAGGTGAAGGTGGTGCAATTCCTTAAGAATCCAGCCAACAGCAGGGGCCTCACCATACACTTCAGGCTTACACTCGATCGACGAAAGATGCCCAGGTAAGAGAAATGCTTTATGGTAAACAGTTGGACTTCAAAATTTAACAGAGTTTTGGCATTCACAGCTTCAGCAGGTAGACGGTTCCATGGGTTTATAACCCTGTGGGTGAAAAAGCATCTCCTGTTCTCAGTCCTACATTGTGGCTTGTTGAACTTGAAATCATTGCTACTTGTTTGTGTATACAGCTCACCTTTTGAAGAAATTGTCCAGATCAACATTCTCCAAATTTTAAGTATTTTAAAAGGCGAATCAATGAGATCCACCCTGTCATGCCTGGTTTGCAGTGTTGTTAGCCCTGTGGCCCTCAACCATTTCTGATATGAGAGTTGACTTAGCTCTGGAATGATTTTTATTGCCCAATTCATCATCATGTGTCAGTGTCCCTTTAGTAACATTTACATCTATGTAAATATTAATAAAATGTTAAGCTTGCTCATAAACTTGTGCAAACAGAGCTTAAATTAATTTGCTTGCCATCACATAGAGTTTGATGCAGCAGTTTCAAACTCCACAAGCTGCAATGTAGGAGAGAAAATAGATTCTTTATCACCCATAGGGTTATTATTAATAAGCCCATAGTCTACCGCCAAAGCTGTAAATGCTAAACCATTACCTCATTAGTTCAAAATCCAGTTGGAAAAAATCCTCAGGAATAAAGAGGGAACCTTTGACAAATTGCTGGCCTCCTATGCTCATCGAGGCCACTGGTGGCCTCAGGTAAATTCAGGTGAAAAAGTGTTTAAGCATTTATATTTCTCTCCCCACAGCCATGTGGACAACACAGAGTTGGCTGTACAGGATGTACTGCTGCAGGAGCTCATGAGTTTAGAACCTGTAGCCTTCCATAATGTTGCTGTCAATATTGATTCTTTTCATCTGGCTCGTAAGTTCTTCCTAACACAGTGTGGTCAAACCTCTTAACACTTGAACATTGTAACTCTTTCTTGTAAGAATTTGCAAATATGGACTTTTATTTGGCAAAAGTGAAGGATACTTGGTTAAAATCAAACAAAATATTTTCATTGGTATTACTGTAGTTTGCTTATATTGTACATAGGTACATGTAGAAAGTAAGTTATATTTTGTGTTAATTGCAATATTTATGAAACAAAATTTTTATTTGTTTCTTAAACTGTTGCACTGGGCACAGGAGAAGCAGAAGCTGGCAGTGTGGAGACTATGACTGCAGCCTCTGCATCCGAGGCCCGAGATGAAGATGTGCAGGTCATCAAAGTGGAGGGGACGCAGGAAGCCCCTGGGGGAGCTATCATGATTCGTAAGCCCTCAGGTTCACCCACCCTGAAGCAAGATAAGGAAGAGCTGCCACAACAGGTTAGGATCTATGCTGATGGCATATTTTGGTGTATCCCAAATAGACATCTGTCATGATGTCACAGTCCTCTAGTAAAGTAGTAGTATATAACGAGGGCAACCACTACACACATTTCTGGGATTGCAAGAGGAAGGGGGCACTTTCCTGATGTCCTTTACATCACATTTGTTGCTTGCAGTGATGGGATTCAGCACTAGTGTTTGTACCTAATATAACATAATTGGTTGTGCCCTGCCCTAGCCTGAGAAGGTCTTATAAGCGAACCTAAAATCCCCCCCTCTCTCTCTCTTGCCACCAGTTACTTGCACCTGTGCTTCATGCAAATTCTTGGCAGCTACAATTCACAGTCAATCTCTATTAAGCTTCCTAGTTTTGTATTTGTACCAGTGGTTACTTTTGTATTTAAGGAACATTTTTATGTTTTGTATTTAAGAAATGTTGATGGTGTATTTTTTTATTTGTTCCTCTGTGTATTTGTTACCTTTATTAAATAGTATGATATACAGTACAATACAATGACATGAGTATTGTATGAGCCAAGCATTTGGGCAAATTGTAAAATTGTAAGACAAGCGAGTAAGTTTTAAAATTAATATACTTATGGCCATTGTATATATTGTATATATTTTACTTGAAAGGTGAATGTACATCATTTTGATTATAACAATCATTATATATTGAGCCATAAATTATACAATTATTGTTAGACTGAATATATATATATATATATATATATATATATATATATATATATATATATATATATATATATATATATATATATATATATATATATATATATATATATATATATATATATATATATATACATATATATATATTTAATTATGCAAAGCATAATTAAATAATGTGAAGCATATATATTTAGGAGAATGATTGTCTAGTTAGTAAATGTTTCTAAATCTTCTAAATGTATTTATAGCTGTCCTATAATTAGAAAAAATGTGCTTATGTTTCATTATCTTAATGTAAATTTTTTGGCCATCAGGAAGTAGAAGAGCCAGTGAGCAGCACAGTAGCCAACCTCATCTACCAGTTTGGTCCCTGGCGTCCCATTGATCCTTTCAATGTATTCAGACCATCTCCAACTGGTTATCCTACCACCAAACCAACTCCTCCTGATCCCCTTGTTCGAAACAATGCACGCCCATTCTTCAGCCCAACTCTCAGACCTCCACAACCATCAGCCATAGCCTCTAAACCTGCAGTCAGTATTGCTGCTAGGGACTCTACGTCAACATCACCCAAGCCACCAACTACAGCTACCACCACTACCACTACAGTTACTCCTCCCACCTCTCCAACAACTATTGTCACCACAACTATGTCAGCCATGCCAGTGCCAACATCAACAATTTCTTCACTTTTCATTGAGCGAGTTGGTATTGCTGGAGAAGGCTCCGGTGCTACAGACAACAGAATGATCACAACCAAAAGAAACCCATCAAAGGATGACTTTCAGGCTTTCTTGGCAGACTTGCTCTTCTTCACAACACCTCGGCCTCACTCAGCTGCTGGAGTGACTCGGTCTCAGCTCCAACTACCTCATCATGTACCTTCGTCAGCTGGATCAAGCTTCAGTGGCAATCAAGGACAACCTCATGCCCAAAATTATTCTCCAAATATTGAAAATGCACAGAAAATCTTGGATCATAATAGAAGACATCAGTCATACTCCACATCTCATTCATCATCTACCAGTAACACGGCTACAACTATTTCTATGCAAACACCTGGAGTACCTAAGGTGACTTCTTACTCTGGTGTCAGGGAACCTTTATCTCCCAGACCACCACCAGTAATCCAGTTCCCACAAGATAAGTTCAGGTATCCAAGTTCCTCATCCCCTATATCCACAACAGGGACAACGCGCTTCAGCATCTTCGACTTTCTCACCACTCGGAAGCCTCTCATACTAAATACTGAACTTGTAACATCCACCAGTACAGACATAGAATATGGATCAACAGATCACCATGCCACTCTCAACCAAAAAGATACTATACATCACTTTAATCCTGTATATATACCAACCAGTAGTAGTTCACTTGCACCTGTTTACCGCCCTGATGCACCTGCATATCCACATAACAGTGATCGTGGCACTACTGACAAGTACAGTCCTGTTTATAAACCAAGCAGAGAGTCAGCTTCTTTGAAAGATTTTCCCAAAGACCAGAATTATGTAACAGTTCCTGTAATTTCAGGTAATAATGTTAGATACATGATGGTAAACAGAACTCGTTCTAACTACCCTAATGTTGTAATTGTCAATCTACAAACTACTCCCGGGGGAGACATTACAACACCCATGACACCCGTACGTGGAGACTCGCGCAGACTCAATACCAAATTTCTTGAAGATGCATTTAAAGTTATTTTGCAGAATTTTAACTACCGAGGTGTTAATGGGGAAGCATATGCTGATTCCAGTCAAGGCTTCTCCAACAGACGAGGCAAACCAATTGATTTGGATGTGCCAGACTCATCAGCTCCACTCTTTGATAGCGATACTCATGAGTCCATCTCTCTCTGGTCTTTCTTGAGAAACCTGAGTCAAGTGTATCTGTCAGACCCAGCTATCATACAACAACTGCATTATTTTGAAAAAGCTGCATTAGAAGCTGTAAATAAAGAGACATTAACCACAGAAAGACCATTACAATCAATAACTCCGATGACAACGATGCCAACACCTATGATGTCTTTCTTTCAGCATCTTCAAGGGTCGGCGGACCATAGCGATACATCTACGACGCCTTTCCTCAAGAATTCTAATGTAGTAGCAAGCCAACTTCCTGAATATACATACATTCCTCTGCGTGGAGAAGCAATAAAAGGGCATGCTAGTCCATCACCTCCTAAGATGGGTACTGTCTTAAGGAATAATCCAGAAATTGTGATGCTGGAAGACATTTCTTCTCAAAGCTCTGTGCCTGCTCAGCCAAAGGTTTCATCTCACCCACATCGATCAGCAACGTCTTCACCATATACAACTCTTTTCATGACGGGTGTTAAAGGGAAGAGCTCCTCAAACCCTCAAATCATCAGTGTCTCCAGCAGATCTCCTTCAGTTTCTTTCCCTGGTTCTCCCACCACTAACTCCCCCATCCATACATTTGTATTAAAAGATGGACAGTCAATGGAAGAGCTTCTGCAAGAAATTTTTGATACCATATCATTAGAAGAAGAAAACGAAACTCATCCCTCCACTGATGCACCAGATTCAGACATTGAGACCACGACTTCTGAGTCTGAGACAACTTACCAGACGACTAACACTGCTGACAGTCGGAATAGTGTTTTGGAATCCATTAATCAGATTATCTTTCAGTATCTTCAAGACATGACCAATAACCCAGAAAATCATCTTAATCGGACTCTGACCTCAGCACCCACATCCACCCCATACCCCACCACTCCTCTTATAGAAGAACTTACTAAGTCATTTACCATTCTTGAAACAACAAGACCATCTACCAACATTGAAACTACTGAAACAAGCACAACTGTCGAATTTACCAAACCTTCCACCACCCACAATTATAATCTCGAACTGTTCCCTGTCATGACACGTCCCATGTCTCCAATAAGAACCACAACAGCAAAACCCTATGAAATTTTGGACGATGGTGATAATGAAATCAAAACAACGGTGATAGGCAATGGAATGGTGTCGGGAGCAGAAGAGAGAACAGAAACGTCTGTGGATGTGTCGTACAGCGTTCACACTGGCACCACAGAATACGTATTCATGAATAATCGCACAACTTCAGGTACACAATATATTTTTATTCAGATATCGTTTTCAAAAGAATATTTCATATACAGTATACTGTACTTGGTGTATCAATTGCCTTAGCTATTACTACCTAACAATTTTATTGTCATTTTAAAAGAAAACTCATCATTAAACATAATATACACGTAATTCTCTTCACTGTAAACTGACATTGCCCTTAGTTGATGCACGTTTATGGTGTAGTTAATATTACTGATTTATATATTAAATGGAATGAAGTTCTACCACTGTAACATATGTTGTTCATTTATTTGTTTAACATATTACAATATGTTTTATGGGAAATAAAAGGGGTTTAATTATCTTTGTGGGATTTTCAGATAATTAAATCTTTTTAATCCCCATACAACATATTGCAATGCTGTATGTTAAACAAATAAACAAATATAATTTATGCTACATTTATTAGCGTGAAATTTATACATTTACAAATTAAAATATATATATATATATATATATATATATATATATATATATATATATATATATATATATATATATATATATATATATATATATATATATATATATATATATATATATATATATATATATATATATATATATATATATATATATATATATATATATATATATATATATATATATATATATATATATATATATATATATATATATATATATATATATATATATATATATATATATATATATATATATATATATATATATATATATATACTATATATATTGCCCACATTTTCATGAATATAAAGGTGCAACTTGTGTCAGCTTTATCAATAGTACTGTACTTGTACTATTTTATATTTTATTAAAAAATATGTTGACTGGAGTTAGCTTTAGTAACTGAAGGATTGAATTGCTGTGAAATGCTTATACTGTATCTTATTTTGCCTAATAAAGGCAAGCAGTTGAGAAAATGTAGGTATTGGCAAAATATGTTGTTTAACAAAGTTTTTTGACAATTGTATCTTATTTTGTTGACACCATCAGTGTGTCAGAATCCATCACAGTTCCAATGTGGGAGTGGAGAGTGCATTTCTGAGTTCTCTCGCTGCAACTTAGTGCAGGACTGCCGCGACAATTCAGATGAGATGAACTGTACTTGCTCTGACTTCCTCAAGAGCAAGTTCCTCAACCGTAAGATCTGTGATGGCATCGTCGACTGCTGGGACCACTCTGACGAGTCCAATTGTGGTATGTTACAGCGCTACTTTGTGCTGCCTGCACTATAAATTCTTAGAAATGGAAATTAAAATTTTGGATATCTGAAATTTTATTACAATACAATACAATACAATACAATACAATTTTATTTAGGTAAGGTACATACATACAATAAATATTTTCAAGGATTGTTTAACTTATAGGTATAGCTAGTACATACAATGCCTAAAGCCACTATTACGCAAAGCGTTTCGGGCATGATAAACTTAAATGACAAGCTTAATACTAATTGAGCATAATGAGTAGAATGAAAACAAGAAATGAAAACATAGATGAAAAAGCAGCACAAATACAATTATGTCGACAAACAGCGCTCTTTAAAGAAAAAAACAGACATTGGTTGACAATAGAAGGGTAAGGTAGGTTACAGGGAATTTATTAGGTATAGCTTCACTTTTAACTTAAACTGGTTGAGAGAGGTACAGTCTTTAACATGGTTGGGAAGGTCATTCCACATTCTGGGCCCCTTGATTTGTAGAGCATTTCTAGTTTGATTAAGTCGTACTCTAGGAATATCAAAACTGTATTTATTTCTGGTGTGATGCTCATGGGTTCTGATACAATCTTCTATGAAGCTTTTGAGATCAGGATTGGCATTATAGTTTAGCGTTTTATATATGTATAATACACATGAGAGAATGTGCAGTGACTTAATGTCTAACATATTCAGAGATTTAAGTAGGGGTACCGAGTGGTGTCTGGGGCCAGAATTGGATATTGTCCTAATAGCAGCTTTGTGTTGAGTAATTAGAGGACGTAAGTGATTTTGGGTAGTAGAGCCCCAAGCACAAATACCATAGTTGAGATATGGATAGATAAGGGAGTAATAGAGAGTCACCAGGGCAGGGCGTGGTACATAATATCTGATCTTAGAAAGAATGCCCACAGTTTTTGAAACTTTTTTTGATATGTTTAGAATGTGTCCCTGGAAATTAAGCTTGTGGTCAATGAGAATGCCAAGGAATTTGCCATCTAATTTGTTACAAATTTGGGTATTGTTTATTTTGAGATTTATTTGATTAGAGGATTTATTGCCAAACAGAATATAAAAGGTTTTGTCAATGTTAAGGGTGAGTTTGTTGGCAGTTAGCCACAGATGGACTTTATTTAGCTCAGTATTTACTGTGGCATTTAGAGCAAGGGGATCAGGACTGGAGTAAATGAAGGTTGTGTTGTCAGCAAATAGAATTGGTTTGAGGTGTTGGGAGGCATTTGGAAGGTCATTAATGTAGATGAGAAAGAGGAGAGGGCCAAGTATGCTGCCCTGGGGAACACCAATGTTGATGGGTAGGGTGGGAGAAATTGTATTATTCACAGAAACATATTGGAGCCTGTCAGTAAGGTAGGATTTGAGGTATTGTAGGGAGTGTCCTCTGACTCCATAATGATGTAATTTAAGAAGAAGGTTTTGGTGGTTGACAGTGTCAAAAGCTTTACGCAGGTCCACAAACAACCCAACAGAGAACTCATTTTTATCAAGAGCTGTATGAATCGAGTTAAGCATACTAATAAGTGCATCGTTAGTATGCACTTACTTATTAGAATCAAATATTTGATGACTTCACTTCCACATCTAAAATCAGTGATGCTTGAGTTTAAAATCATCACTTGAGTGTTGTCCATAACATAACTAAATGTTTTAGTTTAGTTTATTTCATTTATTATGCACCCCATACCCATCTTGTGGGCGGTAGTGGAAAGAGTTACAGAGGCACATAATGGGCTCAGGGACTGAACCCCACAATTCATTTAGCTAAGCAAGTTACAATCTTGATGACAATGTTAACATGCATACAAATGTTGGCAGTTCATTAATGACTAGTAACCCTCCCAAGCTACAACCTTCTTCATCCTTGACAGACTGGTGCCAGCCAGGTCAGTTCATATGCTCTGGGTCGAGCCAGTGTATCGAGCAGAATCAGGTGTGTGATGGCACAACCGATTGTGAGAGTGGCGACGATGAGAAGACCTGTGTTACCCTTGCACCGGACTTGCCCGCTGCCAACTCCCTCAACTATCATCACGAAGGTTAGATTATACTAGCAGATTTTCTAAGATTTTCACAGTTCATGTTTATGTATATACAACATTATACAGTATTTGCATTGAAGCCTGTTTATGGGGTTTACCTCCACCACTTCTTACCCAGGTACATCAGTTCGTCCTCATAAACAATGACCAGGTGCTCATTAATCTAACTGCCAAATCCCCATTTATAAATGAAAAATACTTTACACACGACTCACAATTGATGACATTCGAACTTTCCCAGTGTTTTACTCACTTCTTCTGTTCAAATTGCACCTATGTAAATGCTTCACCCATGTACAACAGATACAAATAATTGCCAACAAAATCTGAACTCGTAACCTAACCTAGGCCTAACTATACATCAAATTATAATATAAAAAATAATAGTAATTTATATTTGATAAAATACTGCTTTTGAATACACAGTACTGTACTGTACGTTGAAATTGATGAATGCATTTTTAGGGTCAGCTGAAGCTTTGATGAGCATAGCCTGAGGATGGGGTCGGGTGCATTCTGCTCCTAATTGTCCTTACAAGAGACGAGATCTGACTCTTAGAACTTCTTTCTAGGTATGCTAGTGGTGTCCTGTCTTCCCTATAATCTTTGTCATATAAAGCTTGGAAACTATTGATGGTTTTGGCATCCCCCACCTAACACATTCTTTCAGTGTGGCTACAACATTGTTTGAAAAAATTAGAACTTTCATTATTTTTTCAGCATTTTCATTTCATTAGCTTGAATCTATGGCCTCTTGTTCTTGAAGTTAAAGGTTTCAGAAATTCCTTTTTGTCAGTTGTGTTGATTTCTATCAGTATTTTGTATGTAGCAGTCACCTTTGTGACTGTCTATTTTCAAGCTTGGCATATTAAATGCCTCCACCCTCTCCTTGTAGCTCTTTTTTTTTTGTTATTACAGTATTATGAAAATTTAATTCTTCTCGAGTCATTTAGTAGCATGGCTTTGCATGCTTTAAAGTTCACTGATGTACATCTCAGGATATGGACACCACACAACTGCTGCACATTCCAGTTTTGGTCTGATGAATGTCATGAACAGTTTTAGTATTTTAACATCTATATTTAAATGCAATTTTGAAATTTGCTAGTACTGTATAGCATAGGCTCCTCTCACAACACCTTTTATGTGTTCCTGTGGTGACTGTTTACTATCCAAAACCACCACTAGAGCTCTTTGTCAAAGTTCTTGAGTGTCTTTTCACATAGTTTATAGGTTAAATGTGGCCTGTTTTCTTTATTCCATGTGTGTCTGTCTGCTTCATGTTTGCCTTGTGAGAACTAAAAAAAAAAAAATACATGAATGTCAACACTGAAACCCAGTATCTGTATCATCCCTGGAGATTATTGATGTTTGAAATGAGGTGAAGATAAGTATGTAATGTTGTTTGAGACATTTTATATACTGTATCTTCATGTAGACAAAAGCTTAACATTAAATGTATGAACAGACATTTTTCTCTGAATTTAAACAAATTTTTGCCAGTATTAATAGGTTGTTACGTTGGCAGGATATCTTATGGTCCGTAAGAAGGGGGTCTGGGGAAAGCTGTGCCTAGAAAACTTCGAGCGTGTCACCTCCCGAGCTGACACCACATGGACTGTATCTGATCTTGGCCAGGCCGTCTGCAAAACTCTTACTTTCAAGTAAATATTTGTCTTTTTTGTCTTACCTTGTAATACAGTACTGTACATCTGTTTTTGCAGTATTTGCTCCAAAATGATTTTTTAGACCTGGAAAAGCTTTGACAGCCAAATGTCATTCGGAGAGAGTCTGCTCTCAATTGGGTACTGTTTCCATTTCTACGTCTATTTTTGTTCAACCGGTAATAAATAAAATTAATTAGTATACTGTACCACTGTAGTAATAAATGGTTTGGAATTGGTAATGAAAAAATATGAGCCTGGCATAAGACCTCTTCTATATGATCACTTTCTTAGCTATGAACTTTTTTGTGATCACGTTCATACTGGAGCTGCATTATATAACCCATGATCATTCATTTTTTTAGTCTCATAACCTCACAGAAATCATTTGTCTATTTCAACTTCTCCTCATAAAGGAGTATTACTAGTACTCCTAGTACTCCTAGAAACTGTTTTAGCAACGATCCAACTGACATGCTGAAAATATCACTAACTTTTGTCCTCAGAACCTGAATTGCATGAATAAAAATGTATTGTGGCTGAGGTGATATTATAAGACTGAGTTTAGAACATTTACATTTGCTAATAATTGTAAAACTGCATAATAGCAGTAATGTCAGTTATAGTTCCCCTAATATTTTTTATTTACTTTAACAGCGACTTTACTCGAGTAGAGCGGCAGGAAGACCAGTCACTGATCACCCGGGCAGCTCCTCGACTTCCACCCAGCTTCCCAACCACCATGGCACGGACAAGTGCTCCATCCATTGCCACCACTCCAACTTATTTTGAAATTCATGTCACAAACTCGCTTACACTGCCATCACGTGCCAGATCACTGTCCCATGAAGGAGATTCTGCCACTGACTTAAGGTTGTCGCTGGAGTTCGAAAAGACGAGTTGCCCAAAGAAGGACGTGGTGAGAGTAACATGCTCTAACCTCCAGTGTGGCATGAGGCCTCGTGCTGTCAGCCACCGTGCTAGGTAATTAGTATTTATCACTTATATTAATGCAGACTTCAAGGTACTTGACTTTCTCTTCGTCAATTTAGGTTTACATACTTCATGGAGTTCAACATTTTAACATCCGAGTATAGGAATATAGTAGCAGATATTTTGTGATTAATCCTTACTGTTAGTCAAGGCATTAATAGAGCCAGAAATTTTCTAACAGTTGTAGTGTCCAGAGGAATTAGTAATGGTATACAGCACACCATTATTGGGGACAGTTTACATGTTAAGCTTATTGAGGGAGGTCTCCTTTGCCAAAGTCCAGGCTGTCTGTGCAGTCACCCAGCCAGTGTGTGTACCCTTAATATGACTGGCCACACTACACACATCAGATACTGACTATAGGGACAAAGTCATACCTCAATGCCTAATGGGTTTACAGCTCAAATGCTGATAATGAGGATTGAGGGATTTAATATTATGTACGACACATCTAGTAACCAGTGTTTTACTTATTTATAGAAATTAAAAATGTGATCCTTTCACATATACTCTACATTAGCATAGTACAACAAAATCTAACAAAGTAAGAGACCAAATGGACACGATAAGAGAGATGTTAGCATATGGTGTATGTAAAATGCGGCATTAAGGGTGCATGCAGGTATTGTTAAAGAATGACTTTTAGTGGGTGTACAGTGGACTGAGATTAGAAAACAAAAAGATGACGACCAAGACGATGTGTGAAGATAAGTAATATGGCAGACTCGCATATCACCTTATCAACGGGTAACTATTGTACAGTAGTGGACTAGTTCATCACCGGACAAGACTTGAGCATCTTCTCTCTCTCTCTCTCTCTCTCTCTCTCTCGCTTCATCTGACGTCTTTATAACTATCACTAACATGATATACATGACTGTCTCTATCTTCACAAAAGACCATCAAACACACGTTATTCTCACTGCAATAGTTGAAATGACAATCTGTATCATTTCAGCCTCATAACACACTAGTATGCATTTATGTGCATGATAGTGTGTTGACACTAGCATGCACAGAGATGCACAAGACTTAACAATACTTATCTTTCCTGTCTGTATTGCAATTCATATTAATAGTAGCACATACTTTTTGAGCTTTACATTAAAACCAAATTTTTGTTAAAGGAAATGCTGGCACTTTACTCATTAACAAATCCACTATCAATGAAACTTTAGAAGTTTACTAAAAAATTCTCTCGTGATAAGTACTCCCAAGAGCACATTTTGTGCATTGTATCATAATTTTTTATGCCACGAGAATTTATATATGGGCTATAAAAATTTAAAGAAAAATGTTGTGTCTAGCACTAGCTGCATAAACTAAATGGATGTTTATGTGAGGATCAATTTCACCTTGGATCAATTTCATCTATCAGTGTGAGCAAAGTGTGTCAAAATTTTGGTGTGAATCAAACCGCAGCATTTTCTTGATGTGTATGCCAGTTAAAATTATATTGCTTTGACATTTGCTTGTGTCTATATATAATATTCTCTATGAAGCATACTGGCAATTGTAAAAGATTTCTTACATCATGTTATCATACTTTTAGATGAAAATGTTAAATTATAACAGTTTAAAGTTACTGCAGTCACAGGTTAACATATTGCCAGTTGTGGAAAACATTGAACAGTTTGTGCCTGTCTGTTTATAATTAATTCATAATCCTCTTCCGTTCTTGTAATTTCCCTGTAGGTTTCTTCTTCTTGATGTATACTCCTTCTACCATTGAACTTTGCAGGTATTACAGAAGTGGGAGTCTGCGACAAGCACGGTAGGTACTCACTCTTCAGCTTTGCCCCAATATTAGCCCTCTCTACTGGGAACGAACTAGAATAAAATAACTAGTAAAATAAAGAATAACAGGTCAGGATCCTGTCTGGTTGTGATGTCACGACTCAAAACAAAATTATCCAACAAAACGTTCTGTTGTGATTTGATTTGCAAGATAATTATGTTTAGTGCAACCTCTTGCGCAGTTTTTTGTATACAAAGGTATTTTGTATAGGGATCTGAATAAATATTGATTACCAGAATGTCTTAAGTGTGATGTACTGTATGTAATAATATATTTAATAGTATCAACAGTTTATTGCTAACACAACCATACAAACTAACAGACTGAAGGTCAACTGTTAATGACAGTCATTAACACATGCATGTAGCCACTAATGAATCAGCTTAAAACATAATTTGTCCTCTTCCAATGAGAGAGTAAAGGTGTGGCAGAGCCTGAGCAACTATAGTAACTTGGCCATCACATGACATTATATGATGGTGTGGGTCACACCGGCATACAATTCTTCTTATTTAAATACATGTTCTTTACTATGGGTATCAGAATTAACTTCCCTCAGCATGTTATGGCACTTGGTAGCTCCTCTTACAGAATGGTTCTTGTTATTGCTGTCTCAACTCTTCCCTTAGCTCTTCCTCTTACTAGTCTCTTGTACTAAAAGATAGGCAGCCTTGATGACAATCTTATTATGGATTTGATTAATACTGAATGTGTTAGACTCTTCCTAATAGACTAATGCATTTCTCAACATTGCTCTTCAAGAGCTGCTTATGCCATTACATGTTGAGATGAAACAGTAGACTTGGCTTATGGTATGTTAAATACTGTTGTAAGATTACTTTCTATTTATGTTTCACTATTTTTAAGCAAAAAATCAATGTGGTGACCAAAACTAATTTGTGTTTTAAGAAAATTTATGTTATGAATAAATGCCATGTGCTAAAAAATTTAATTATAGGAAGATAGTTGTTGTTTGCAAGGCTTTTAGTTTCTCACCAATTAACTTAATTTTTCACAATTATGGCAGCAGGAGAAGTGCAACTGCATATTCAAATCAAATCAAATCAAATCATATTATTATAACACATGATTGAGTAAGGTGAATCCATCTCAGCAACTGTAGTGGGGTTGCAGGAACCTTCAATTGTTCTAATTTAAACATACCTTAAGTTATAAATGTAATATAAAATAGTGCAATACATATTAGCTGCTTCTGAATCACTACAAAATGTTTTTTAACAAAATATTGCAATGAAAGCATGCATTTAGGCAGTTTGGGGGAATGAGAGTGAATAAAGAAGCAATGCCCTCTCGTCCCCAGGGATGACAAAAATGACTGAATAATAAGTACAGAAAGCATCCTGGGAGGTTCCCTCATAGCTTCCCAAGCTAAGTGCTGGTCAAGACAAATCATAGGGAGATGCACAAGACCTGTGCTGTAGATCTGTGCAGTATATGTGTATGCAATTTCCCAAGTGCAGTTAGAGGATGAAAGCTATGCTAGTGGTGTCCTGCCTTCCCAGTACAGAATACTGTCATATGACGCTTTGAAACTAATGACGGTTTTGACATCTACCGCTTTCTCACTTAACCTGTTCCAACTGTCTACCACTCTATTTGCAAAAGTCAACTTTCTAATATTTTTCTGTGGGGAGCCCCTTCGGTTCCCTGAAGCTATTGAGCTAATATGCGATATATTAGTCTAGGGCATTAATTATTTATCTATTTATTTATATATATACAAGAAGGTTAGTCAATGGAGTTCAGCCTACCGGGGACCATGAGCCAGAACCTGGCCCCCCTCAGAGACAGGAAGCAATGGCCTCTGGAAAACCTCACTGTGGTTGGGGGGTATTTCACCTTGTATTTAAAAGGGATTATGAAGTTGAAAGCATATCATAGGCTCCTTGCACAATGTCCTTCATATGGTCCTCTGGTGACAATCTACTATCCAGAACCACCTCTGATAGCTTTCTTTGGCAGAGTTTTTAATGTCTTTCCACATAATTTGTAGGTTGTGTGCGGCACATTCCATAACATGGCATTTATTCACATTAATTCTGTATGCTAAGTGTTGCTCCATATATTTATTTTGTCCAGGTCTTCTTGAAAGGCATGACAAATCATATAATTATCTTATCTTCTCTAATAGTTTAGCATCATCAGCAAACAGCTTTGTAAAACTGTATTCCTTCCGGAAGATCATTTATATAGGCACTGAACAGTACTGGTGCTAGATCTGTGCCTTGCGGTACTCCACTAGTTACATTTCTTTAGTTTTGAAATATTGCATCTGATTACTGGCCTTATTTTTCAGTTGGAAACTTTTCAGCCATGTCAGAAATTTTCCTGCCACTCCATAGTGTTTTAGCTTCCAAAACAATTTCTTGTGTGAGACTGTCAAAATCCATTTTTTAGGCCCAGAAAATGCAATTGACCCAACCATTTCTTTCATGTTAAACCTCTGTGGTTCTATCATAAATAAATAGTGTATGTAATTACTTAAGTGTATGCAGATATACATACTTTCACATGTATTAGTGTATATTCACTAAATTGTATACATTGTATGTCCAGGATTGTAGGTGGCAATAACAGCGGTCCTGGATCCTGGCCGTGGCATGCTGCGCTCTATAAGGAAGGAGAATATCAATGTGGTGCAACACTTATCAACAGCCGATGGCTCGTTTCCGCTGGCCACTGCTTCTTCGGGTAGGTCCTCTGAATACAGGGTTTTCAAATGGTCAAAAGATTGGCAGATGCATTTTATGCTGACAAATGTTAGGTTCGGAGACTAAGTAATGGATAGTTACAGGGTATCAGCTGGATGGTGTTGAAATTGCAGAGTCTGATTGCAAAAAATATCTGGGAGCCATGATTAGTAAGAAATTTAAGCTAAAAAATTAATGCATACATGTTCCAAATAAGGCAAATAGGATATAAAGATTTATTTTGTTGGAGTGTTAGTAATGAAACACCTTGTGTTATTCTTCAGCTATATCTTATGCTATGGGTGGTGCAAGGGCATGAGTGGGCACCTTTATATGCTTATGGTATTTTTGGTATTTCACTAATGTTCCAGCTTTGGTTTTAAGTGAGTGAATTGTGGATGTAATATCTGTTAGACTGACTGGTAAAAGGAGGAGAGAGTTAGGATAGCTGCCAGTGAGATATGTGAGCAGTTTATTTCCCTGTCTTCTCCAGACATCAGCCCATCTGTCTATTTTGTAGATTCTCTCCAGTATACTGTATTGTGTTTCTTGAAATCGTCTCTCTTGATTTTTCTATCTAATAACATGAGGTTCAGTTTTTTTGTGTATTCTCCTAAGTCATTTCCAGCTCTGGGGCCAACGTAAAGTATGTGTGTATTGGAGATGTGCATACAAAACCATAATGTATTGGATAGTGCCGTACCTAATATTTCCTCCTGCAGGGCCACCGACAACTACTGGGTGGCACGGCTTGGGGCTCTGCGACGTGGCACAAAATTCCCTTCACCATACGAACAGCTCAGACACATCACCCATATTTTTATACATCCTGAGTAAGTGCGCTCTCTCTTTCAAGATCATTAAGTGCATACATGACATCTTGGTTTTTAGATTTTGGACCACAAATTTACATAAACAATAGTTAAATGTTATACTGTACTCTACATTTACAGTACTTTGATGATGATAATGTAAAGGACCATCCTCTATAGTAAAATTCTGTAAAATTCTTACCAATGACTGTACTTATTATATAAAATCATTCGTTACTATCATGCAGTGAAATTTTTAGATCAGAAAGAAACAAGAGCAGATGCCCATTATATGTACTTGCTAGTGTGTCCCTCCTGTGCCAGCTACTCAACCCCAGTTCTGAGGCTGTTGTGTTCAGTGGCAGTTGATCGACTCTGGCTCCATCCTTCGAGCAGTGCTGTGCCATATGGTGTTATTCTGCTGTGTGGTGATGTGCAAGAAAGGAGTAATTCCAGAAGTACTGGGGCTGCATGAGCCTAGGGCCACCTTCCCTAGGTGCCCCTGCAAGTACTGCCCTTGCAGTTTGGGGTTACCTTCCACAAACTGTTCAGGAACTACCTCCGCAGGGTTTTTTGCTGCTCGGTGATTGCCCGCCCTAAGGGTCAGCTGGGTTTTTTCCTACCACTGTTTGGCCTTGGGTAAGAAGTAGTATCATTGCTGGCTGGGGTGCAGTGTACTGTGCAGCTGTCTTATAATACACATAGAGGCCGGTTCTGTTCCTCCTGGAGAAGTTGTGCCTGACCTGGTAGATGGTAGACATGGACTGCTTCCAACTACATGGGGGTGTCTATAGGCCATTGTATATTCTTACAAAGCAGCTAACACGCATAGCATTTCAACAGAACCATTCAAGCAGAATTCTGTTATATCTAAATTAACTATTATTAACCAAACCACACACTAGAAGGTGAAGGGACGACGATGTTTCAGTCCGTTCTGGACCATTCTCAAGTCGATTGTGAGAATGGTCAAGGACAGACTGAAACGTTATCGGCCCTTCACTTTCTAGTGTGTGGTTTTGTCAACATATTTCAGCCACGTTATTGTGACTCCTCATCTGCATAACTATTATTACCTTTATGGTGAGGCTTGCAAAACAGGATGATAACAGTGTTGTGTGTGGGGCAGGTACGAGGACACAGGATTCATTAATGACATTTCGCTGTTGAGAGTAGAAGAACCTGTCAAGTTCACAGACTATGTGAGGCCTGTCTGTCTCCCACCCCCCGGTGCCCCTGTTCGTCAAGGCCGTCTCTGCACTCTTGTCGGCTGGGGACAACTCTTCGAAGTTGGCAAGATATTCCGTTAGTATACTGTACTGTATTTGTACTGGCTATAGCATATTATGTAATAGGGTTTTTGCCGATTATAATCATGATCAGTCATTATCAACTTTAATTATCATTATTATCATTCTTGTTTCTTTGCAGCTGACACACTTCAGGAGGTGCAGGTTCCATTGATCTCCACATCAGAGTGCCGCAAAAGGACGGTGTTCATCCCATTGTACCGCATCACTGATGACATGTTCTGTGCAGGATATGACAGAGGAGGGCGGGATGCCTGTCTTGGTGACTCTGGTGGACCTCTCATGTGTCAGGTACATACTCATCTTTTGTGTTTTGTAATGTAGGCAATTCTGAGCAATGACATGGCCAGGAGCACCCAGGACACTTAGCACTTCAGACTCTTATTGATAGAACTTGTTCATAACAGTGTGCTCCAATGATGGTACAATGTTCCTTCATTATCACATACTTTTATCTTTCCTGGGGGTTTTGACAGATGTATTACCGGTTGCATTCCATTGACCACTATTCTTCTTGTACGCTTGATCCTCAAGTGGGTACCCAGGGACCCCTGGTTGCTTCCCTGGGTCCTTGTATGTAAATTTTACATATTCAAAGGTGTGCCTCAGTTTCCACACATAGGCTTGGGGTTCAATGGTACATATGTTGCCTATCTTCCAGGCTCACACATGTTTATGTTCCTCAGGTGCAACTCCTGTTTGGTGGTATGCTTTTTAAGTTTCCCAGGAGTTTTTCATGGCTACTTGGACCACTCTCTAAGCACCCACACCACAGTACCACATTCCAAGTGTTTGTACTGTTCTCTGTTTGTGTCCTATGTTTCACAAAAACAATCCTCATGTGTGTGTCCCAGGAGATTGCCCAAGCCCTCCGAAGGTGGTCTTATACTCTCTAGGTGCAATGTATTTCTTGGGTACATCCCCTTCTCTTGGCATGTATCTGGTTTCTTGGGTTTGTTTTTTCAGGGGGAATATACCCCCAGCTCTCTGGGTATATTCCCATGAACATTCCCTAATTGTGTGCCCTGACTCAATGGCCTGTGGTTTACCCGATTTGTGTAGGTTTCTGGGCATATTTTCTGGTTCTCTGTGGGGCTCCTCTGTGCTCCTGTTTAGTGTCCAGGTCTGCCAGGGTTTTCCCTACAGCCTTGAAGTGTATTCCCTCTTTCTCCAAGTGCATTTATAGAGGTGTTCTAGTTTCTCAGACCCTGTGTTCTAGGTCCCAAGGTCATTGCCTTGGCTCCCCAGAGTTGTATTTTGTACTGCCCAAAATTGTTAGGTTGTTTTGTTTGGTTTCCTTCTGTGGGCCCCCTCTTTTTTTTTTTTTTTTTTTTTTTTTTTTGCTTCGTCAAGACATTCGGGTGTTCACTGGTTCCTTAGTTGTGTGTCCTAATCACCAATGGTTTACCCCAGGTCATTAAGGATATTACAAGGGCATCTCTTGGACCTCTCTGGAGAATAGTATAATTTCTTGGGTGTTTTAGGTTTTTTCTGGGGCTACAGCACCATGTTCACTGGTTGGCTGCCCAACTCCCATGGCTGGCATCTATAGGTGGTGTACCCTGAAATCACCTCACCCAGGTAGTTTGCTTTGTGTTTTCAGGAAGGGGGCTTTAGGCATCCTAGGGGTTAACCTGATTACCTGTTGGGAGCATCATATTCCCTTTTTGTTCCCCAGGTTCCCCAAGTTTGTATTCTGGGGGGGGGGGGGTGTTATCTTATCTGGTCAAGTTTCTTCCCCAGTTTACCAGGTTGGGCCATTTCTGGGAAGATTTTACTGTACTACCCCTTCTGTTTTGAAGATTGCTATATGGGTCTGCACTCCAAATTCTTTGCTGAATTCTCTCTGGACCTTGGTCTTTCTTATCTGTTTCTCTGTCGAACCCCCTGGACCCCCAAGAGGTGTGTTTTTCCTACACTTATGGTGTTTTGCCTTGTTCCATAGATTTGGGCCTCATGGTCCCTGTGTTTCCTAGCTTTCCCAATCTAGATTCTCTGATTCCTGTGGTTTCTCCCTGCCTCCTCGAGTATGTGTTTTGATTCAGTTTTTTCCTGGGCCCTGCATCCAGATCTAAGTTACTGGTTTCTTCTTTTTCACAGCAGTTTGTTTACATTTAACACATGCCAATGTGACAATACTTAGTGAAGTATAAAAAATTATTGCATTCTATCTCATAGCAAAACTTATTTATAATTATTGTTCAGTATGATAAACGTTGAACACTTTTCTTTTCTCCAACTGTTTCTATTCACCTAGCAGTAAATAAATTACTGCTTTTAATCAACTATTGTGAGGTTCCATCCCGGGAAAAGTCGGTAGTTCAACTTGAGGTGTGTGATATTGTAGGAGCCTGATGGTGGGTGGCAGCTGGTAGGAGTGACCAGCAATGGCTATGGATGTGCCCGCCCACACCGCCCAGGCGTCTACACCAAGGTAGTCAAATACCTTGATTGGATGAACCAGGTACTGTACTGTTTGTATATTACACTTAACCTACTCTATCCTATATATTATCAGTCTTTTTACACTAAAATCATTGTAATAATACAAGATTTACATTTATATTGAGGATTTTAAGTTAAAATTAAAAGGTGGGCTTGGCTCCTTATTTAAATAAGGTGGCATAATGGTCAGTGCAGTCGGAACACACCCGAAAAGTCCCAGTTTCAATTTCCATGGCAGAACAAACATTTGGGCTAAACTTTCATTCAGCTGATGCCTCTCTTCACCTAGCATTACATAGGCATGTAGGAATTAGACAACTGTTATATGTAGCATTCTGAGAAAGGTCAGTCATTGGTCTTGAGAGACCTGAATAAGTCTAATAGGTTTAACATTTTTATTACCTATTTTATCTCTTTCTTTTTCATCATTTTGAGTGGTATGATTATTGATATGAAAATACTGTAGTATTTCTTTTTTATTATGAATACATATAACAAACAAGATGAGAACAGAAATAAGTGTTAGAGGATAAAATACAGAATTAAATTTATTGTATTTTGCAAGTAAATTACATAAAATTCCTTGGTTCTATCAACGATGATCCCTCTCCAGGGGAGCATTTATAGCCTGGTATTTAAAATACGTGACCAATAATTTTTTTTTATAAAATACTCAATTGTGCTTTGGTTTTCACAAGGAATTTTATTTTTGCAGGTTTTCAAAGAGGTCATTATCTAACAAATTTTGTTTATAAAATACAAAAACATATTAATTGTTTACCTACATTTCTGCCTTCAGTGGGAACAAAATATTTCTGAGCCATTAGGTTAAAAATAGTGGATTAAGTGTGTGATTTATCTCCCAAAGGTGATGGAGCTGACTAAGAATGAGAGGGTGGTGCCGGTGTCAGTGAGGTGTGAGGGTCGTCGGTGTCCACTCGGCCAGTGTCTTCCCCGTACCAGTATCTGTAATGGTTTTGTCGAATGTTCTGATGGATCTGACGAGAGGAACTGTGGCTAGATATTACAATTCATCGCACATTTTTTGGTACATCTTCATCCAATTATGTGGTCCTGAATGGATTTTTTTTGTGTATGTGTCTGATCAACCGACCTACTTTTTCATATAGTACAGAAATATGATTTACTTCTACCGACTTACTCAATGTGGCCTCATTTGGTGACATGACCTTACTTCATTGTGTAACTCAACATGTGAAGTGACCATACTCAGTGATGTATGTGCCTTGTTTAATATTCCAAGTGAGGACATGTGAGTTGTTATTGGCCAGTACCACCCTTAGCTGCAGCTGCTTGTTAGCAATAATTATCTTCAGACAAGCTAACCAGAATACCAAATAATAGCCCACCATCTTTGGAGTTTTGTTAAAAAATTATAGTACTGTGTAGTCACAGATTTTTATATGGAAGTGTCTTGTAGTGTAGTGAACACTCTGAAATTACCTGAGATACTCCAAGTAATCTTGGAAATTTGATCACTATGTTACCTAGTTGACAAAATTATATAGAAATCATAGAAAAACAACAAGCGTGGACAGCTCAAGACATCTGGATTTATTGACTGGAACAGATAAAATAATTGTGTGTGACAATCAAGTAACAAGACATTAATTTGTCTACAGTTGCAATGTTTCAAGATGGGGTTATTCTTTTCCATCATTAATTTTTATAGTGATTAAAGGGCATTACAACCATGACATTACAGAAGCTGCAATGTAATCCATAGCACCTCTAGTAAAAAAAATAGTCAAAATATTTAGGACGCTCGCACCACAAGTGATGTGAACTCAACTACATATGCTGTGGCTTCTGAGTTATCATCCTTCAACACAATGTGCTAATATTAAACATATTAAGTTATTCAATTTATCCAGATTTTTTAAGTAAAATATCCCATTTTTGGCATTGTGTTGAAGGATCAAAAGTTGCAATTAAACTAAATTATTGACAATACAGTAATAATAATAATAATCATTTATTTGTAAAATTATGCACTAGAAAATGTTAGATTTCACATTAGTTGTACACTGAATGTATTTTTTATTTATGCTTCATTGAATTGACCCCTAAAGGTGCTACACATTCATCAGAAGTGCTTCAGATTGCAAAGATGTTATAACAATAGTCAAGCGGGTGGCTTCCTGTCCCATCAAGGCTGCTACAAATAGTAATTACCAAGTAGATATCGGTCACTGTCACATAACTTTGTGAAAACCTGCAATAATTTTACACCTTGCAACAAAATACAGTATGTGACTGGTAATGCAAATTTAGGAACATAGAGTGCCATTACTTGACATTGTAAATGTTAAACCAAACATGAAGCACACTGCTTCAAAACTAACGAGTTCTATCAAATTGATTCTCAAATAATTTGCGTTTTATATAAAACTTTCATCAAATCCTATTTTATTTTCAAAACTGGAGCAGAAACCAGGTTACAATACCCAAGGTTATGATCCCCAAGACACCATTGCAGTACTAAAGTCATGCAGGGTATATATGGGGCAGGTTTTGCTTGATGTGCACAAACCTGGTTTCTCTGCCATACCAAGTTCCAAATTGGGCCAGTCTGAAACACCTTTGATTCTTCATTTAACATAACTGCATGAAATGTCATAGATAGGTTCATTTTGAACTCACTTGTGCAACTGTGCACAAATAATTGTCATGTATGAAGTCAAAACTGGCATAACCTTAACAATATTACTTATGAATGAGAATGTCCCCTAATTTATTACAGCAACAAGTGTTAATAGTAGAATATGTATTTTTACCTGATTTACCTGAGGGGCCACTAACCCTAATGGTATTATGCCAGTGAGCATAATAGTGTGGTATGAATGTGAAAAATATAGAATTGGAGCAGTAGGAATGGCAATCTATGAAACATGTTAGAAGAGAGAGTAAGGAATGTAAAGAGTGTAAAGAGTACAAAAGTCAATAAACTGCATGAATGAGTCTAGCATACTGAGAGAGTTTCAGCATGTTGAATGAATGATGAAAGACTGTATATTCAATATGTATGTACTATGTATATAGTATATGTATGTACTGTATATTCATACAATATACAATATATATTCATACAATAATATACAATATGTATATTCAATAACAGTATGTACTGTATATTCAAGTGAATTCAATAATATGAGAGGAGGAGGAGGATGACTGAAGACTGACAGATGATGGGCAGACATGATAAATGAGTACTCAAGTCACTGCTCAACAATGGAATAAATACATTTGTATTGTCCAGCTTAGGATAATTTACAAGGAACACTGTATACTTGGTCTTATGAAGAGGAAGAGTGCTGTTGTGGATAATTTGCGGAAGAATCATTTTTGTTTATCCAGGATACAGTACTATATATAAAGCATAAACATTGCCTTTAAGCTGAAGTACATACATACATACATAGGATACAAGCAGATTGTTGGATTCATATTAGTTAATTACATCACCTGAAGCCACCGAAGTATTTCAGGCATATGAATAGACGAGTGATTTTTTTAGTGTCCACAACTGCAATCACTATACAGTATTATTCACCTATTTCTTTTTACCTGGCTGATGGCTCCTTTCCATAATAAAGTGGACAATGGAGTAATGTTGATGAATGAATAAAATCCAAATATGTATGTACAGTATTAAAATTAACTGAATTACGGTATTTTACAAAGTTACTGCTTATGCAGTATTTCCTGCAGCTCATTTTAAAATTTGTATTACAAAATAGGTGAAGCCATATGTTTGTTAATCAGAAAACATAACATGGTATGAGAAATAACTTTTTCAAGTGGGCCATTACTCTTATCAGTACTTATATCAACCTACCGCATCACCTATTCAGCTAACTCATGTACAGCCAATACATAGACATCCCTTGTTAGCACAGCTACCAAGATTCTTTTTGGTGACTACCATATACAGGTACCCCTCAGTGGCATCAGTATACAAATGACTTAATTAGTGGCAACTGTGCTACATAGGGATCCCTTAGTGGCAACAGCATACAGTTAAGGACCTATTGTTACTGTAGTAATAGCACACCATTTAGGACCTCTAGGTGGCAACACCATACAATTAAGGGCCCCCTTGGTAGCATAGTAGACTTGGACCCCTTAATGGCAGGAACTATTCAGTGGTATCAGTATACAAGTTAGACTGAATACAGTACAGTATATAGCAATGGAGCTGGGCATTAGCATTTATGTCTGATGTAATGCAGGTGAGATGAACTCCTTTTAACAAATCCATTACTGTAATTCAATCTTTTTCTCCAATATGGCAATGTTTTAGTATTACATTTCCGGTTAAATAGGAAGAATTTCTTAAGAGTATGTAAGGATTAAATTGTTATTGATTTTATTTTTGTGTGAAAGTGTTGTGAAGTTGCTTACAACTCATAATGGGTATAGTGTCTTCACAGCCCCAGTGAGTACAACTTATCGTGTAGCCGTTTTCACAGATAAAGTTGAACCGAATCTCTCTCACCCACAATGTAGATTACATCTTGAAACAAATTAATTTATTTGGAAATAGACGATCTTTTACTGTTATTACAACTGATCAAGAACTATATGCATTTTATCACATGTGCAATAGAAAATTAAGTTCCATCTAATACCATCCGAGTTCACACACTTATTTCTTGGATGTGGGTATTTGTTTTGGTCACTTATGTAATGTTCTTATTAATTGTAAGATAATCATGGTAATATTTCTGTTCATGATTCACTGATCTCATGTCTCATCAATTATCACCAAGTCATGCATCATTGTGTTCATGTTGTGGGCAATTATTTCAGTACTGCACCTGTACATAGAGCCTCATGCCCCATTACATAAAGTCTTGTGCCCCATTACACAAAGCCTCATGCCCCATTACATAAAGCCTTGTGTCCCATTACATAAAGCCTCATGCCCCAGTATATAGATCATGCCAAAGTTTGGTGGGCATAGTTTTTGTGATATTGTTATTATTTATTAACTTACAATAAACATTTTTAAATTATGTGGGTTTTATTAAGAAAATCATTAAAGTGAAATAACTTTATAGTTTATAGTGTGAGTGTATATACATCTAGATGTACTGTACTCACGTAGACATGAGTGCAGGGTTGAGCATCTAATCTACCTTTTTATTCCCTGGTCAGCCTGGTTGGCCGCTGCTAATGAGGTGAAAATTCCCTTAATTGTTGTTTTATCATCGCTGCAGAACACCAAATCAAACACACCCAGGGATGGGTTTTTGTTCTTGATGTTGCGAATGATCTTGCTTTCTATTTGGTCAGCAGTTATCCATTGTTATCCTCGGTCTTTAGTGGAGCTGGGGTATGGGTTGAGATCGATCTTGTGAAAGTCCCCTGTGTAATAGGGGAAGAAGTGAGTGATGATAAAACCTAGTAGTTTTTATCACAAGTGGATAAAATAAAACTAGTTTTTATCATTACTGGAAGTAGTGAAAAAACTGTTCTTGCTGCTAGGAACTGCTTTGGGTAGTTTAGATAGAGGTGGTGCTCTGTGCAAAGTGGGAGTTCATAGGCCAGGAGTTTTTCTAAGTTCTCCGCACATGAAAAAAAGAGCATGACATCCTTACCTTCATGTCTAATGTCAATGGGTGTGATAACAGCCCCATCTTTTTGGATCTTTAGAATGTTTTTAGAAAACTCTTTCCAAAGGCATGTCCATCTAAGGGGGTAGCCCTAACTTTATACCGTTTGGGACGCGTTGTGTCCGCCTGGGGAATCTGCTCATGGCGAGGAGTGATGCCGCTCTGCTGTCAGTTCAGTGGATGGATTAATTGAAGGATTATTTGATTGATTGATGAAGATTAAGCTTCCCAAGAAGTGGCATGGGCATGAATAGCCCATAAGGAGGGATTAATAGATTGACTGATGAAGATTAAGCCACCTAGGAGTTAGCACGGGCATGAATAGCCTGCAAGATGTGGTTATTGTTTTAGATTCAGCTACTCTGAACAAAAAGTTTCAAGTAGCACAGGCTATGGTGAGCCCGTAGTGGGCTTACCTGACACAGGAGCAGGGCTGTACTGGGGATTATTCGATTTATGAAGATTAAGCCACCCAAGAGGTGGCACAGGCATGAATAGCCTGTAAGGGGATTATTCGATGATCAATTGCTTATATAATCGATCCACACCTCACCTAATAGGTTTGAAGGAGTGTTAACTGTAATTAGGGAAGAGGTATGAGTTTTGTTATTAGTGAATTAAATAGACGTAAGAAACCCATCATTTAAGCTAATGAGAGTTTGGAGTAAGTATATTATTGATATAATAAACAATAATATAATCGCTACAATAATATTGCCCTGCAGCAGACTGATGAAGAAAATGACATTTGAGTAAAAATCCACAATTCACTGAAAATTTCACAACAGGTAGGAGCAGCAGTCAGAAAATCTAACCAAACCCTTGGAATAATCAAACGTACCTATAACTTTAAGGGAAAAGAAGGTAATGATTCAACTGTTTAAATCTCTGGTGTGGCCCTATTTGGATTACTGTATCCAAGCATGGAGACCTCATCTTCAGAAGAATATAGCTGATCTGGAGAAAGCGCAACACCGGGCAACAAAAATCATTCCAGAACTAAGTCAACTCTCGAATCAGGAACGGCTGAGGGCCACAGGACTAACAACACAGCAAACCAGACATGATAGGGATGAGTTAGTTTAGTTCATTTATTATGCACCCCATACCCATTTTGTGGGCAGTAGTGGAAAGGGTATGATCTCATTGAAATCTTCAAAATACTGAACAATTTGGAGGATGTTGATCTTGAATTTATCTGAGAGCCACAAACACTAGTGGCCTCGACAAGGACACGAAGTCGGCGGCTTGTCAAAGATCCCCCTGTTTGCCTTGGTGATCTTTTCCAGATGGATTTTAATATTTAACAGAGTTTTGGCATTTACAGCTTTGGCGGGTAGGCAGTTCCACGGGGTTCCAAAGCATCTGTTTTTTTCCTACATTGTGTTTTGTTGATCTTGAAACCGTTCCTTCTAACAGAACATAATAGAAGTAGGATTCCTTGATTGTTTCAAGCTTAGGTTAGACATATATATGAATGAGATTGGGAGGATATAAATAGGAGCTGTGTCGTTTGGGCCATTAGGCCTTCTGCAGTTACCTTCATTTTTATTTTCCTTGTTTGCGTTACATCTGACCTTTTGAATAAATTGTCTGGATCAACATCCTCCAAACTGTAAAAAGTTTCAATGAGATCTCCCCTGTCATGCCTGGTCTGCAGTGTTGTTAAAGCCAGACAATTTCTTCAAAAGGTTAGATGTAACACACAAGGAGCAACGTTTTTAAGGTCAACAAATCAAAATGTAGGCCTGAGAACAGGGGGATGCCATTTCACCCTGTGGGTAAAAAAGCATCTCCTGTTTGGAGATTCTTTGGAACCCTTGGAACTGCCTACCCGCCAAAGTCATAAATAAAAATAAATCTTGAATTTTAAAATCCAGCTAGAAAAAATCTTATGATAAATGTGGGGACCTTTGACAAGCCACCAGCTTCCTGTTCTCGTCGAGACCACTAGTGTGTTAGTAGTCCTCAAATAAATTCAGGTAAAATTATGACTTGAATTAAGCAATTCAGCTATCAATGAAAATGCCTAATTTGTTAGGCAGCACCCACATCATGTGCGGGGGCGACAGCGTAAGGAAAAAATCTGTACAGATTCCCAAAAATGAGGTTATTTATTCTATTTATTATATTTATTTGATTTATGGGCAGGAGAGAGAAGTTGAATGTGGCGCCACAGTGTGTGTGGTGTGGTCAGCCTGTTACGTCACGGCCCAGAACGTAGAACCGCCATTGCTCCTGCCACTCGTACTAAACAAAGACAAGTATTCGTTATTTCGCGGATAATTCCACCCTGTTTTTGGCTTCCGTGCGTGAGGTGAGTTGAGCAAGCAGGTTGTGCGTGACGGGGTATGGAGACAGGGTCAGGAGAGGGAGATAGAGAGGCGGTAATGTGTAGGGAGAGGCACTAGATAACGGCGGAATGATACGCAGAAGGGGGGAGGAGGAGAGGACAACAACACCACAACAGTGACAGTTCACCACCACATTAATCACCCACTAATGTCCTCCTCCTTCACCTCTCCATTACCATTTCATGATTAAATATGTGGTACTAATGGAGTAGGTTAGCAGGGAGGGTCGTGTGGCGGGTCGCGGCCCCTGCCAGCTAACTGGGGACACTTGACCCAGAGGTCCGCACCTTCAACTTCTAAGTTGGACTGACAGTTAATTAGGTCTTTATTATTACTGGTCACAAGTTATTTTGGCTGTATAGCAGCGTGACAAGTTTGGGAGGTGTAGGCCTTGTAGGCTGGCTGGTGTAGGCCTTGTAGGCTGGGGGGTGCTGACACAGGTGGAGTTATTTATTTAATAAAGCCTCAAGATTCTTAGCTCTGGCCTATGCAGTGCTCTACAAATAATAATAATAATATTAATAATAATAATAATAATTTATTTAGGAAAAGTACATACATAGCTGCAGGGTTACAGTACAAACATTGTTTGATTTAAAGATAGAGGTAGTACATACAGTACCTTAAGCCATTAGTACGCATAGAGTTTCGGGCAAGGTGTGGTGGGGAAAAACACTTAGACTAAAACTTAGTATTAATTGAGCTTAAAGTATAAATTGCATTGAAAGAAAAAAAATAAGGGATAAATAAAAAGGGGGGGGGGGAAATGGTAGAAAATAGCCAATATACAAGTTGGTCAACAAACAGCATTTTTTTTTTTTTAAATAGTAAGACATGGGTTGACATTTAGAAGGTAGGTTAGATTACATGGAGTTAATTAGGTAGTACTTAAGCCATTTAGTTGCATGTTTTTGCACCTTTTCCAGTTTGTTGATGTGCTGCTTAAGATATGGTACAATCGTGTTTATGGAGAATTTTAGGTTCGACTCCTGGGCAGGACAGAAATGATTGGCCGCATTTCTTATCACCTAATGGGTCTGTTCACCTAGTAGTAAGTAGGTACCCAGCAGTTAGTCAGCTTTCAGTGAATGGTGGATTCTGACTTCAATGTCAGAATCCTTGAATAAAATCCTTGAATAAAATCCAGAATCCAGAATAAAAAACTGAGTTTTTTATTTATTTTTATTTTATTAATGTCATTTTCTTCGTCAATCTGCTGTTAGGTAATATTGTTAATTTGGTAGTTGTGATATGGATTATTATGTCCCACATGCAAGGATAACAGTAATGTTGAGAAATATTTATTCTCATATATCATTATTCATTTAGCTCTGTGTCACCATGTTCTAAAGATAAGCAGATTTAGTTAGTAAAATGTTGTTATTCTACAGGATCATGGAGGTTGGGGAGGTGACAAGCGGTGACCTTGGCCCGGGTACGGTAGTTGTTGGGAGTGATGGGGAGCTGCAGTATGATCTCACTCAACAGTCTGGCTCGTTCTTGACCAACACTCACATTGTGCCCCATGGTAAGCGCACTTGGATTACTGATTATTCATATACCTGTACTGTATATGCCTATCTTCACTTGAACCATCCAGCACTATCATGACTGTTATTTGCAACATAGTCATGAGAGAGACAACCCCTGTAATTTGTTTCGTAAATCAGCAACCCTATTATCAAACCCATATTTATTAAGGTGCTTTCTTAATCAAAATTTAGATTGTCATAAAACATTGATGGTTATAAAAACAAAATTTACATTGTTTTTTATTTTTGTGTTAACAGGAGCAATAACAGATGGAAGTGGGACAATGTTAAGTTTACCTATTCAATTAGTGCAACTACATGACCCTGGGGGCGACGTGGGCCGGACTGGTAACGTGTCTTCAGGGTTGTCAGGATTCACCGGTCACATTATCATTAAGAACAACCCTGATGGCACTCGCACATTTCTTCTTGATCCATCTGAAGTTGGGGTAGGTATAACATTAAATAAGGAAAATAAAAATTGGATTGTAGATGATTAGTAAGAGGAGGATGAACGAGATACTCGGAGCATTGTTAAATATAGAAAGATTTTATTACAATAGAACACTGAGTTTGGCAGTTCTTAATTGCTTATCTCAAGTGTATTCTTGTATTGTACATCCATGTTACTTTAACCTATAGAGTTCACTGTTAGATGAGAGGAACCTCTATGCATATCTGTTTAATGCAAAAAGTAAGCATTAATATTAAGTACTTAATGAATCAACAATAAAATTGATTGTTAAAAACATCTCAACACCTCAAGATCTTCTTGGCAATCACCCATCAACTTTATTTATTTATAATTCATTAAATACTTTATGTTAATGTTTATTTTTGTAGCATTATTATGGTAAATCAAGAAAAATAATGAGAATAAGAAGCATAAAATGTCAAATTGTAAAGAATTTACTTAAAAATGATATAAGATAAATTATCAATGTCATAGATAGACTGAATAGTATATTACTATCAGTGAGGTAAGTGAATAAGACTTAATTATCTTGGAAATAAGAATAAGAAGTAATGCTTGTCCTTGGTAATAAGATACCTGAAGATATTCTACAGGAGAAGACAGATGGTGACTTAAGTGTTATTGCTTGAGTATGGCAGTCGTGAGGTGTTGTAATTACCTAGTTACAGGATGAGAGCTACGCTTGTGGTGTCCTGTCTTCCCAGTAATCTGCCAGTATGATGCTTTGAAACCACTGACAGTTTTGGCATCCACCGCCTTCTTACTTAACTTGCTCCAACCATCTATCGCACGGTTTATAAAAGTGAACTCTAATTTTTTTTTTCCAGCTTTGTTTCTGTAGTCTAAATCTATGACCTCTTTTTCTTGATTCAATAGCACCAAAGCAGGTGAGATGTGTGGACTTGAACGATAGTCAGAGTTGTGAGCACCACTAGGCTTTACAGGCCTGATGGAACCTGTTTAATGATTCCCAAGGTTCCATCAGGTGGGCCTCCAGGGGCTACAGGCTTCTTTCTGGAGATGTGTAACAAAAAGGAGGCCTGATCGAGGACCGGGCCACGGGGACGCTAAGCCCTGAAATCATCTCAAGATAACTACTGTGCTACAGGACCCTATAATATTTTATGTAGATATTTTGGATTTTCAATGTTGAATAAAGTCAAATACATATAACTTAGTACATTTGCCCTGATCACTATTAAGTCATTGATGCCAAATGTCTAGTTCAACAAAATGATTTACAGTATATATTTTCTTAACCAGTTATCGGTTAGTGGAGATGATGGGGGAGAAAGCCGTTTGATACCGCTGCAGGACATGTCTGAGGAAACAGTTGGGCCGTCTTTGAACGATCTTCAAGAAAGGTAATCATTAAATTATAATAAAGTACTGTATTCTTTATGTGAAAATATTAGAAATGTTTGCAAATTTGTTTTGTCTGTACAGTAATCTATTGTATACAAAAGTGAAGTGGCAGCAGAGCAGAGAAATGGGCATTTTGAGTTATATTATTGTACTGTAATTCCAAATTTAAAGTTCCAAGTTTGTTGAAAGCTATTCCAATAATACAATACACAGTACTGGTGTTTCTATGCTTACCAATATTAAAAACTATGGTTATCTGAAGAGAGTGATTATCTATAACAACAAATTTTGAAGCATGATTGAGATAAATCCTCTCGAATATACTGTATATTGGTATAGAACATACATTGTTAATTTTTGTATGAATTTGAATTTGATTTGATATTTGATTTGATTTGATACTTTTTGAATTTGATTTGAATTCTCATTACCTGTATTATTTACATTGAGATATGCTAGCACATGACACTGATGCACTTGAAAAAATTTTTCATGAATTATATGGCAATATCCATCACAATTATAAACTGTGTTGGACATGGAATATTATTTATAATTTTATGGATTTTGTATTTATAGCTAAATACTGTAACTTATTTTCCTATAGAAATGGGTTCTTACAACTAGATGAAGGCATGGTAACAATGAACCATGTAGGAAGTGAGATTGGTCAGGGCGGAGTGATCTTAGCCAGCACTGGGGACTACCTTTCACATAAAGATGGAACCATCCCACAGTTTGCATCTCTTAACATTGTTGATGGCCAGGTGAGTTAGTTAATTAGTCTCCATTTCAGTTACTTCGTGAAGGGGGAATACAGTAGACTCATGGTAATAAGTACCATAATCTACACAGGAAGTTTAAGTGTGACCATTTTGGTTGCCCCCCACAGTTAATACTAAAATTTATACAGATTTGCTCTGATACATGAAATGCAAAATTCAGACAATCATTAATCTTGGTTTTAAATATGCCCATGACACCATCTCTTTCTTCTAGTATTACAGAATTATTTAAACCAATGATTAAAGCAGTAGCAAAAGAAATAGGGAATATGCTTTTCTGTTTTTCACACTGGCTGCATTAACTGAGTGAAAAACTGAGTGAAGTACTTCTTTTCAGGTGATCAGGTAATCCTTCAGATATTCCTCCAGATATTGCTGCAGGATGTGGTCAGAAATTAACATTCCATTCAAGCAAGGTTGTGTTATATATACCTGATAGTCATTGTCATTAGTGGCCCTGGTGGGCAGTAAGCGTGTTGCTCATACAGGGTCTTCTTATTTTGTTTCCAAGCTCAATAAAGAAGAAATAATTATGGCAAATTTCTCAATGCAAACCTTAATTGGTATCTTTTCTACAAGTAAATTATTCCTCATAACTGAAAAATGGCATATTTTATGCTTCCTTTGGGTGTTCAGTGAAGAGAGAGACTTCTTGCTCTGTATCTTAAAATAAAGTAAGTTTGTTTGATACTGTACATTAACGGCTTAATGCATCTGGTATATTTTTCCTAAAATATGTGTTATACAGTAGTAGAAATAATGATTGGCATTGAACATTTGATATAAGATAGATGCCAATACTGGAGGAATAGAGAGAGAGATTGATGGAAATGGGGCTGGAAGTGAGTTACTTGATAAAGTACAGCACATTACCATATATGCTGGTTAGTGGTTTGATTTGAACAAATGAAAATAAAGGTTTTTACATTTTATTACATTTGTGTATGATTTAATGTATTATAACATTTTCAGATGGTGTTAACAGCAACTGAAGCTGGTGTTGATGATACAGTAACTCTTGAGGGGGGCAACTTAATTAACTCAGCGATGCATTCTCCAGAATCAATATTACCAATACCAGGGCCCATCTCCATAAAGATAGAGGTACTGTACTGTATATGTTTAAAGAAATTGCATAAAACTATGTGACTGAATTTCATAATATTGTGAAATGAAGAAGTGAATTTTTTAAATTGAAGAGTAATGAATAGAAGTGTGTAATATATTCAACATGGTACGCCATGTTGAATCAAGCTGCAATCTTTCTAATGTATCATACTCATGATTGTGCATAACTATATAGTGCACATCCCCAGTCCTAAATAGTTACTTGAATCGCCATCAGAATGGTAATATAAGTAAAACACTGTATTTACAAAATGCATACAAGGCATCAAATATAGCCAGCTAATGCAAGTAGTATAATCTGCGGTTTATACCCTTGATATGTTATACAGTACCAGAATTGTTCTGAAGCACAGTGGACTATGACATTCGTGGTTTTATGGAAACTTTTTGTTTTCGGCCCTTTATAGTTTGCTTCTTTTGAAATAACGATTACTTTTATATATTGTCAGAATACATTAAAGTATAGATTTTGTTAATATTTCTAGGAAAAGCAATATTACCATTACCAAATTATCATAACATTTTAATATTCTGTATGTAATAATTCCCTCTTTTTATTAGCCTTCAGACTTTAAAATACAGTATAATTTAAAAAAAAAAGCTTTAATTGATATAGTATTAGTTATTTTTTCTTCTCAATTTATCTTAGCCGGACGTGGACCCTCCTGTAGGTAGAGGACCGTTCATGTGTGCGTGTTGCAATATGGCCATAGAAAAGTGGCAACAGTATAAAAAACATTTGAAGAAGCATTTAGACGACAAACCGTACCAGTGTTGCGAGTGTGAGGCTTCTTTCAATGTACAGGTAAGAATTTAAATAGTTTCTATAATTTTTTCAATGTATGGTACAGAATTTAAGTAGCATACTAAGTTTTCTGCAAATACAGTAATATTGTATTTTAATTTCAGTTAATTTTAAATTTTGTGCTACAAAGAAAATGCCAGCAGCTATTCCTATGGAAGAGGTAGACGTGAAACGTCTACCTCTTCCACATGTACATCTACTTCTGTTGATAGAGGTAGGTAGTAACATTTCAGATTGATGTTACACATCTACCTCTATTGTCTTTTGTAAGACATATACCTCTTTACCTATACTCTGTTAGACTCTATACCTCTTTATTGTCTCTTGTGAAGTAAAATAATAATAATAGTAGTAGTAGAAATAAGTCCTCTCATTAGGGTGGGAAAATCTGCTTGAAAGAGCTCCCATGTGCAGTAGTAGAGAAACAACCAAATAACAGTTTTTTTTACTTGTACTCTCTTCATGGAGTAAAGACTTGACTTTGTGCTTTTTTATCACAAGCTGTTGAATGTAAAGTGTCTTGGTGTTATTTGTTCTTGCAGAAAAATCTCCGTCTTCACGAGGCTCTACATGTTTCTGAGAAACTAATATGTCCGGAATGCTGCAAAACTTTCAGACGGTTGGCTTCCTTTAAGGCCCATCTTGTTGTTCACGAGGAAGATGAATCGGTTACGTGTGAAATATGCCAAGAAGAGTTTGTTTCTGTGGTAAGTTTTGTGTCACTGCTTGATGCTTCTTCTGAGCCTCGGCCAATCTGTTGTTCTCTTTAACAATATCCTGGAGAAGTCTTTATCTAGCTTTCTGAGTGACTATCAAAAACTACATTCCTCTACCACCCTTCTCCCCCTCATCCTCCTTCCTTCCTCTCTCTTCTTCCCTTCTTCCTCCCTTCTCCTCCCTCTTCTTTCTCTTCCTCCCTCCTCCTCCCCCATGTTCTTTATATTTACTGTGCTTATCACACCAGGCTGTGTTCATTACACTAGTCTAAGCTATGCATCTTACACCGCCCTGTATTACATTATGCAGCAAGTAGGTACTGTATCTAGGAGTTGGGCAACTGTTGTGAGTTCCATTCTGGCAAAGGTGAGTAGTTCAACCTAGGGAAGCCCTCAGTATGTGCTTAAGTACCGGGTTCATGTCCCCAAGAATTGGAGTTATTATTACTACTGTATATTGTGAGATGTGGTCTGGTTCATTATTTTGTGATCACCTTCATGTAATAAAAATATTGTGTTGATCTTATTTATTTCTTGAGATAATAATGAAATGTTTTGTATTTAAAGAGTCAGCTTGAGCCACACTACCAGCACCACAAAGAAGGTCTGAACCAAGCTATGCAGAAGAGGCCACATTTAGAATGTCGAATGTGTGGAGCAGAATTTGATAATCATGCGATGCTGAGCCAACACACAAAAAATCATAAAAAGGTGGTCAAATTTTGTTTTTATCTGTACTATAGAATTTATTATGTAGTTAATTATTAAGTACTTTATTATTAAAGTATACAAATAAAACCAAATTATATAGAATATAAGAAGTTCAAATTTATGAGGTACAGTACAGTACTGTATATGAAAGTGAAGCAATGTACTGGGAAGTATATGTAATCAATAAATGCTGTCCGATTAGTTACATTAAGGATTAAGAATTGATTGTGGCACAGTGTTGATGAGTATTTAATTGTTGCAAATGCAAATAAAATCTTCAAATATCAAAAGTACTTACCTATCAGTGTGTTTGACAAGAAAGATCTGACTTTTATGACCACTTGGACTGTACTGTAGAGTGATGGTCTTGCTCATGTCGGCATTCAAGCCCCGACCATCCAAGTGGTTGGGCACCATTCTTTTCCTCCATCCTATCGTAAACCCTTATTCTCATACCCCTTCCAAGTGGTGTATAGTCGTAATGACACTGTGATGTCTCCTGATAATTGGCCATAAAATAGGCTTTTTGTGGCCTATTTCCTAGCTGTTTGTGTTTTGTTCTTTTATAGCTCACCGCGTCCTAGTTCTAAGTTGTACTTGATCTTGAAGTATCATCCATAGCTTCTCTAAATGTTTTCCACTTGTTTATCACTCAAGGTTCATATTCACTGTTCTTGTTATTGTATTTGTTTGAACCTCCTGTGTTAGTGCTGGTGTTTCTGCTTTAAACTCTGTACTGCTCTGCTCACCTGCTTCATGTGACAACTTTATGGTTGTGTATATGGTTATATATACAAATATATATACAAATGGTTATACAAATTATATAAATATGTTATATTTATGATTGTTATATTTATTGATTGGATGTGTAAAGGGCTATAAATATTTTCTTAATGCTTAGTAGCTTATATCTCATTCTAACAGGTAAAGAAAATGACTGCTCCAAAACCTAAAAAACGTATTGATCGATCTAAATTTGAGAATAAATGCCACGAGTGTGGTAAAAATTTCATCAAACCCTCACAACTGAAAAGGCATGTATTGATCCACACAGGTGAAAGACCCTTTAAGGTATGTACTTTACTTTTATTTTTATCATTACATCTTTATCATCAATACCCTATTTTCTACTTTATAGGTCAAGTAGTCATTTGTTAGAAGATATTGCAGTAATATAGGAAGAAGGGTTAAAGCTGTTCAAAATGACACAGGTTTATTTATCATCATATATTTCACACTAAACAGAATCATGGAGAACCAGCACATTTGCCTTCCAGTTAAATATAAAGCACATCATCACCTAGTAGAGATATGCTCCCTCCAGAAATTCTCCTCCTCTAGTTCATGGTTTCATATTAGCATCATTCGTATAAAAACCAGACAATAATAGTTTAAATCAAAGTATGATGATAACTGCATTACCCCCCCCATCATGAATCAGTGTATGACCTGAGCTATACTCGACTTTAGATTGGAAGCTATTGAGGGCACCTCCAGGAAAAAGTATTTTATTACATTCAACACTTAATTAACTAGTACAGGGTATTTTAAATCCCTAAAGCTTGTATAGTTGTATTCGATGATCATATTTGCTGTATTTGCTTGAACTACAGCTCTAATATAAATACCATTTTAATTTGCAAATTTTATCAATCTCTTGATAAAGCCAAGGTACTAAACTTACTTTAGAGAGAAAGTTGCAGATTTCTTAGAAAAAGAAAGTGCCAATGTTGACTAGGTTGTGTACATGTACAATACCGACCTAAAACTGGTGGATTTTGTTGTATACTTAATTATTGTAAATGATATATGAAGGTGCATCAAGCTGACTGGTGTGTGAGTGCTACCAAAGAAGAGAACATTAATGGATGAAAGGCTTTCTCTTGCTTGAACATTGTACTTTCAGATGCAACTATTTCCCTACTGATTGATTGCATGTTGATATTTTATGTTCATGCTGTTTTTAATTAACTATTAATGTGCAACATATGCATTCAAGATTAATTTTCTTTTCATATTGTTCCCTTCTCCCAGTGCACCTTTCCTGGGTGTGATCGAGCCTTTAACCAGAAATACACAATGCTCATTCATATGGATATTCACACCGGACGGAAGGACTACAAGTGTGAATTCTGCAACAAAGACTTTGTGCAAAAAAGTAAGTTCACAGTACACTATAACCTAAAGAATCCATAACGAAATAGAATGTTAACCTTAAAAATAAAATAAAAAATTGCCATCGGACACATTTTCAAAATATAGAAGAGGCATTGACATTTAAAAAAAAAAAATCAAAAGGCTGAGGAAAATCCAGTACATTCTGGCAAAGTTAATATTCACTGGCTATATTTTGTCAACATTTCTAGGAGGGCTGGTACTGCCAAGCCTTCAGAAATCATACCAGGCCTCTGAGACCCACCCTAGCCTGCCAGAAGCCACCTCCAAAATCTGACTGTTCAAGGTGAGGGGGAGCCTGGGGATCAGAAATTGACTCAAAATCAAGGAAAGACCTACTAGAAAGGCTAGGTACAATAAAATAATTAACAGCTTGAAGGAAAATAATAACCATGAGGTTAACAAGGCAAATGGTCATCGCTAAATACCTGGAGTGGGTTCTGGGAGTTCTCCTTCCTAAGCCCAACCTGGGGCTAGGCTTGACTTGTCTAATAAGCTGTTGCTTGGAGTGGCCTGCAGGCCCCCACATCCACTGCAACCCAGTTGGTATGTCACTTTTTGCAGGAATAATTCTAATTTTATCTTGGACACATCCACTTTCGTTCTTCAGTATTTCATGTGTTTGCTGGGAGGATATTGAATATCCGTGAACTTCTTGCATTTATACAATCTTCTCTGATTGTGTTTATGGCACTTACTCTCTTCATTGGTCAAATCTTTGCTTTTTACCATATTGTTCAATCCAATGTGTTGTTTTGCTTTGCAAATTTGGAACCTGGCCTTTCAGTATCTTCCATGGGTATATTATGTCATATCCTTTCTAGAGAGTACATTTTGAGAACTTTGAGATGGTCCCAATAATTTAGGTGCTTTATCATGACTATGCTTGCCATAAATGTTCTCTATATTCCCTTGTTCCAGAAATCTCTCCTGCTTTGAAAGGGAAGATAAGTACCAAGCAGTACTCTAGGTGGGACAGCACAAGTGATTTGAATAGTAGGAACATTGTGCTGTAATCTCTGGATTTGAAGGTTCTCATAATCTATCGTTTCATTTTCCTGGCTAATGCTATGTTTGCTTTGTTATGCTCACTAAACATTTGGTCATCTGACATCATTATTCTTAGATCCATTGCATGTTGGGTTCTTTCTACGAGGAGATATGATTGTGTCTTGTATCCTGTATTTCATTTACATTTGTAGTTTTTACCATATCTAAGTATCTGGAATTTATCACTGTTAAACATCATGTTATTTTCATTGCTCAGTTGAAGGCTTTATTGATACCAGCTTGTAGTAATTTTCATGCTGATTTTAGTATTGTCTGCTGAGGATGACATGAAGCTTTGACTTGGACTGGATGGTAAAGTGATGGTCTCGCTTCTGGCAGGTCAATTTGCAATCCCCCACCGTCTTAGTCGTTGGGCACCATTCCTTTCCTTCGTTCTGTTCCATGCCCTTGTCCTCATCTCCATTTCAAGTGCTATATAGTTGTAATGGCCTAGTGCTTTCTCCTAGTAATTACCTACCTTGTGTTTTTATGTATATCTGATACTGTATCAGAATTAAGAAAAGCAGTGTGTGTGGACTGTGTCTTGGGGTACAGAGCTTTTTAATTGTGCTCAGACATGATTTTGTTTGAATGACTGTTACTCTTTGCATTCTGTTTTATAGAAAATTTAATAGCTATCATTTTATAGGCTATCACTCAATGATCACATTTATCATGGGTAACTGCCTGAATTGTGATGCACCTAGCTGGTACCAGACGGCAGCCAAGGTCACGTGGCATCTTGGAAAGCTGTGCACCTCACTCGTCTGGTGACTGTTTTGATGGAGCACTCTGACAGGGCTCATTGTTTGCTCCACCCTTTTCATCTGAGATAAATGTTCCACGAGGTTTGGGTTCCTTCTATGGGTTGACCAGATCTGGTCAAAAGGGAACCAAAGCGCCCTCACCAACAAAGGTACAAGGTAAACAAACCTCCCAGTCTCATGTGAACTAGTAGTCCCTACTGTTGAAGATTGATCGGATATGCCAGATGCAAGGTAAACAATGGTGGCCTTTTAACGCTCAATCATGTCAATTAAGGGACTAGGAATAGCTTACAATGCCGTGGATATGTAAGAATCGGGTAATGCAAGCCAAGTGTGTACATAACTGAAGGTGTAACCTTGAAACCTGGAACTTCAAGCACAAGCAGTCATAGATTCAAGTCAAGGAAGTAAAGTTGCTGAAAAAAATTTGAAAGTTCACTTTTGCAAACAGTAGTAGACAATTGGAACAAGTTAAGTGGTGGATGCCAAAGCCATTAGTAGTTTCAAAGAATCATATGACAAAGAGTACTGGGAAGATGGGACACCTCAAGCATAGGTCTCATATTGTAACTACACCTAGGTAATTACACATGTGAATTAGGGCCAGGTACAAAGTATGCACTAGCACACAGCTAACTACTCGACTCCTTATCAACAGGTCTGGTATTGAGTACTAATCAAGCACCACTTGGACACCAAGACAACTTGAAAAGAGAAATTCCAGAGTGGAAGATGTCCAAATACCACAGAGAATTTATCTCTGGTAGTGAAAAGGAAATGGGAGTCAACTTTTAAAGAAGAGAGCATTGAAACTGTCTGAGTGAAATAAACAGCTCAGCACATGCAAAAAATTGTGAAGGGTAAATAATTGCTAGACACAAAGCTAACTCCCCATGATATAATTTCCCAAGGAATATCATCCCCACTTTTCTAGATAATAATAAAATAGGTACCTGCAGAAGTTACGACTTCATTGCAGGTACCAGGGATGCTTTTGTGGACTTAGACCGGCTAGAATTGGAGGTGAACTGGACTGATAGTCGGTTTAATTGACATGGCGATTGCTCACTAATGGCCAGACTATGATTTATCTTTTTACTTCTTTATGGCGCTACATAGCCTTCCCGGCTTGGTGCCTTCTTTGATAATTACTTTTACTTGTTACTGCTTTTCACAAGGAGATTAGTTTCTGCTTCACTTATGATGTGCTTTCTACAAGACTTTTCTAGATTTTTGCTGATCTCTGATCCCCAGGTTCCTTTATCCTCAATGAGTGAACCAGATTCTGATCCTAGTCTCTAGTAGGCCTGTGTAAGTTCAGAGCCTTAAGCACCAAAAGCACCAAAGAACTACCTAGGGGGCCATACCATTAACTATAGAGAAATTGAATATTTTATTGTTGTATTTTGTTAACTGTGAACCAATTCCATCTGCACAGATTGGCAATTTAGATATATCTGATGAATTCAAAGTTAATTTCAGCTTTTCTAACATTGAAACAGGATGAATAACTTAATTAGCATTAATGATGTGAATATCTATTAATTAATATTTCTAAAAAATTGCCTTTATTTTCAGAAACCCAAAATACATATGGGATTTTGCAACACAATAGATTTCTAATGTGAGAGGCCACCATCATCAAACCATACAGTACTGTACTTTATTTGTATTTATCTTGCTTTTATTCTCTCAGGTAATTTACGTTGTCACATTAAACGTGTTCATCCTGTCAACAAAGTCGGGCAGCAGTTGTTTGAATGTGAAGAATGCTCTTGTGTGTTCAAGCGCGCTGGAAGTCTTAATGCACACATAGCACGGGCACACACTAATGAGGCAGTAATTGTAAGTGGATTTACATATTTCTTTAATTGTACTGGTAAGGTTAATTTGAAAATATTTTCTTTTCAGTATTTGTTGTACTGCATCTTTGCTGTACAGCAACAAAGGGAATTTCATTACATTCAATTCTTGATTTTTTTTTATAAGTTCCTAGACAATGTATGGTTACACTTAGTTTAATTAATTAAATAATATGCATGTCATGCAAGGTTTCACCATTTCCATTTATCTTGCCTAGGGCCCATGTTCTTACTACAGTACAGTACTTGGATTATTAATAACATCTCAAGCAGGTCTTGCATTCAGGTCACCTATTTTCACAATCCTTTCATATGCCATAACTGAACTGCTCGCTTCAAGACTCGGTCAAAATTTTTCCCCGCTTTTTAACTACTAAATTTGTAGATATAATACAAGACATGTGGTTTAGAAATCGTTGTCTACTTAATTATTTTTCGTTACAAAGTTCCTTCTTCAGAGATTGTACAATTTGTCTCGGTTTTTATTTAATATACAGTACTGTAATTACTTTCAGAGAATGGACGTATCTGCAGATACCCGTGATGTATTCAAGGATGTTCGAGATGTGATGAAGGACATTCAGGACTCTGAAAAAGTTTGTCAACGAGATCAGGTAACATTTGTTTTGAATCATTTATAGTTCACATTGTTACCTTCAGCAAGTCTACATATTGTTAGCTCTCCATCAGTAGGTGCATAGATAATATACAAGTGCAAATGTGCATGCATACACACACAGCCACACTCGCTTTATAAGTAAAAAATTACTTAAGTAAGTAATTACACACACATGCCAATAGAGTCCCAGTAGGACAATCTGGTTCATTCTCGACTCAAAATCAAGAATTCGAGTTTTGAATTCCGTGTGGGAGAGAAATGATTGGGTGCATTTCCTATCACCTAATGCCACTGTTCACCTGGCAGTAAGTAGGTACTCAGGAGTGAGTTAGCTTGTTGTGGGGTTGCATCCTTTAGGGGGGGGATGCAAAAGACACTTAGAGTGGATTTCTACATATAACACATATATTTTAATAATATTTTCTATAAAACTAAACTTCAACCCTACCAAGCTTCTGAGACCTACTGAGGCCTACCAGAAGCCAGGTTCAAATTCTAGCTCTCCCTACAAGGTGAGGGAGCTTTAAAATTACTGATCAACCCAATACTAACTAAACTACAGTAACTTGAACATTAAAGCTCTCACCCTTATTTAATGAGAAAAGTGGCACTTTTCATTATACCCAAACATTAAGGGTTAAGGTCCCCTTATCTCTTATGCAAAGAACCAGATTTTGGTCATGTCTCCCTACTGGTTGGCTTGGGTCTTGGAAGCCTCACCACCTCCAACCCCAGTGACTCCCTGAAGCTATCTCACTGAAATTGCTCCACCTTAATGATCACATCAGTTGCAGGAGTTATGTTTAGCCTCCTGGGGACCACAGCCAGAGCCTGACTCTTCCTCGTGGAGGCACAGAGAGCAAGGGTCAATTTGCTACCCCACCAGGAAAGCATCCTGAAAGTCAGTGAAGGCCAAGCAGAACTTCTGCAACTGATGTGGCCCTTTAGTTAAAGCGATCTCAGTGAGATAACCCCAGGGAGCCACCGGGGCTGTACCGGGGTTAGGTAGTTAAACTTAGGTAATTACCAGAAAGAGGTGCTTTTATTTGTTTTATTTTATTTATTGCAGAAGGAACCATTATCATGTAAACCAACTGTGAAATATAAACAAGATCATCCAAAACAACAAGACACTCTGTCATATGTTAAGGTATGGAGTTTTCACCGAGCTGCTGCCAAACTTGAACATCAAATGCTTGTGTAATGCAACTGTTAATTTTAGTGCACTTATCTATCCCGTAAACTTTGCCATGTATATTAATAGTCATCTCGAGTGGTTAATATTTTGAATATGGACATAGAATTTGTAATTCAGTAATACAGACACCTGAAATTTGAAGCTTGTTCAGTTTAAAGCTTGTGGAACATTATTATCAGCTGCAAATGTCTAGGATAGTTTATGACAAGTGTGCTCTGGTTAAGATCTTTGTTATTAATGAGCCTTATATTACCATAATGTTTTAGGGTGTGTGCCACAACAAATCTTGCATCAATGAACTTGAAGTAATATGCTGTGTACAGAGGAGGAGGAGTTTTCAGTAAGGATTTTTTCCAAAGACAGAATCAGTAAGGAAACTATTCATGCTTGCATAGATTCCTATTATGTATGTAGAAAAGGTAATTTACGTTGCATTTAAAGAATTTTTTTAGGATCATCCAGTGTTGTTTTCTATCAGGCATAACCTACCATCCAGTTAGTTGTTTCATGTTTCCCTTTCCTTGCATAACTAGACACTCCTCCACAATCTGTTTTTACAAATATAAATTCAAAACCTTAGTGGAGTAACTGAGTGATGAACTTTTCCTGTCTGCAGAACATTGTGACTGGTGTAAGTGAATCGGCAAGTACTCAGGCTCCAGAAAGTTCAAGCGATGGGGACATCTTGCAACAAGCTTTAAAGAATATTGGACTTTCTCAACCAAGGGATCCGCTACAATTGAACAGAGATGGTGACTCTTCTTTTTATTATACTTCATGTACTGTGAAATTTTTTTTTTAAATTTAATTAATAGCAAAACCTATATATGAAGACCAATATATGTATTATGGTTACCAGGTATTAAACTGAAGATTGAAGCTGAAGATGGAGGGCAGCTGGATGACAGTTGGCCACTAGAAGGAGAGATTGATGCTTCTCGATTCACTGAATGTAAGAAAGTGCGAATCATGACGCTCATCGACCGTAATTATGAAACTGGAATGAAGTAAGTTAATTTTTTAATCCCTATTTGGAAGGAGTAATAGGTCTTCTGTTATAGATCATGAGAGGGGTACCTGGGGATGCCTGGGTCTGTGTCTGTCTCTTTCCCTCCCCCCCCCCCCCCCCTTGTCCAACTCCACTCTTCCTCCTTTTCTTTATTTCCTGCTCCCCTCCTCCTCTCCACCCTCTCTTCCCTCCTCCTTTCCCTATTTCACCCCCTCTTTCCCCATCCCCATCTCCCCTACTCTTCCCCCTTGTTCTCCCTCTTCGGACACAATGAAATACATGTACAATGAAAATGAAATTTCTCGTATGTAATTCAGTTGATGCAGGTAAAGCTTGCTCTTCTGTAAATGTGAATGCCAGTTTTTCAGAAAAAAACTTTGCTTCACTTAATTTCATGTGACTCTAACAGATGGTAAAAATCTGCTTCATTATTGTAATATTCACTAGGATGATTTATGATATATAATCATAATAGCAATTTTTATCAATATGATTAAGGTTCTTTCTTCATCTTTCAGGAGGTACACAGTCTTGGTGAAGCTGGTTGGAGATGTGAAGTGGCATGTATGTATGCATAAAGATTGCACAAAGGAGTTCAAGAAACCTTCTGATCTTGTTCGACACATGAGAACGCATACAAATGATAAACCATTCAAGGTACGTCAAATAATGCTGATTACACTATATTATTTAATCGGATCTATTATTTATTTGATATCATACTGTCTTGTATAACATATATCTTGTATACATGATATCATACCCTTCTCTTCATCAAGGTAAGGTATTTCTCATAGCAAATGAGATTTCAAGGCTGTAAATGCATGGGTAGAAATTGGATAGGCAGTGGAGTACTGTCCTCATATTGTATAATAATTCACTAAATTACCGTTAATCTATTTTAATATTTTCTATTAGCAATTTTTCAATTGTATCTAAAATAATTTTATCTTGTGTTGTTTCTTAAAGTGCTGTAAGTGCTACCGAGCATTTGCAGTGAAGTCTACACTGGTGGCCCACATGAAGACCCATCTTGCTGTGAAGGAACACACCTGTAAGCAGTGCAACAAGAAGTTTGCCACCACCACTTCTCTTAGAGTCCATTCTTGGTATGCCATCTTTATCATTCACTTGTCCCTCTTTGATATAGCAGGAATACATAGGACCAATACTGAGTGCATAGTCACAGTAAACCACCTACATTACTGAAACTGTCTCTTAGCATTCAAAACAGAGGCAGATTAAGAGACCCACAGGCCTTCGGCTTGGATTCTGGGCTAGCCAAGGTATTTTGTTGAGTGTCTGGTCATTGCTACTAAAACATATCCCAACAAACAAGCACTAGCGTCAAAAGTTCAGCTCTAGATCTGACTACAGCAGTAAAATGTCTTCATTCACTGAAGGAATTTGTTCCATCACTGACAGAGACATGTGATGCATTTGAAAATAATGGTACTCTCAAGGCTGGTACATCAACCTACAAGGAAGAGACAACCAGAAAGTGTATATGCAGTGCAAAAAAAATAAAGTTTCATAATGAACCAGCACTGAAAACGAGGCTGTCAGGTTCAGTGTGTGAACCATTGCATGTCAATATGCCCTGAGTAAACAGATGGATGCTTATTCAGAATTGCCTAAAGCCTAAAGCCTATAGGGCTTTCCTCCACTGATTCAAAATGTACTTCCTAGAAAGGAAATGAGAGATTTATCATATAATTTATACATAGAGAATACTGGAAGGTTAGGTCCCAAATATACAAAGTAAAATATCTTGTATGAACAAAAGATATGGTAGGAATTGCAAAATAGACCAAATGAAGAATAGAGAAGAGTAAACAGTATGAACATCAGAGGCCTCTGGCTCTTCAGTCTCCTCCCACCAAATATAAGAAATATTGCTGAAATACAAGTGGTGGATTTCAAGAGATAATTGGACAAGTTCTTTGTAGTATTGCCCAGTATTCAGGTACTTTAGCATAGTTTAGTCTATTCCAGTCATTCCTGTATATTATTGAACTTTACAATAATGAGGACACCCCCCTCAGAAATGAGTTCAAGCCTCAAAAGCACTCTTGATTTAAATTTTTCCCTTTGTAAAGCTCAGAAATTGAGGTTACTGTTTCTTCCCTATGTTATTGAATCTGTGTTGAACTTTGTTGTTCTCAGTTGTAATTCTTTTACCCAGTAGTTAACATACTGAATAGGGACGCTCCAAGATCTCGTTAAAGATTCATTTAGTTCTCTAGATTTAAATTCTTAATTTTATGTTATTGTCCCCTTCCTTAAAAATTATGTAATCTACTGGTTCCATATTATGCCATTCTTTGATTCTTGATGATTGATGATTCTTTCCTGCCATTCACGTGCGTGAGAAAAGAATGTGCCACATAATAAAGCAAAATATTGCAGGGTTGAGCATTTTCTAATCAAAAAAGTTATTCACCTAATAATATTATTATTTAATAAAATGTGTTTACATTTTAATTACTTTTAGATAATGAGTCTTTCTGGTTATATTTTAATGTTGAATGATGATTGAGGTTATGCTGTATATTAATATTTTTTTGTTTTAACTGTAATGTGCATTTTTAATTACATCCCATTGTTATTCTCAACAGGGTACACACTGGTCAGAAGCCTTACCAGTGCTCCGAGTGCAACAAAGTTTTCCGCACAATATCGCACCGCAAAGCACACATGTTGGCCCACTTTCATGCTTCTCATCGGCAAGCTCTACGCAAAAAATCCATACCTCTGCCAGACATTCCTCTTCAAGAGCCAATACTTATTACTACTGAAGGTTACTATCTCTTGTGGTCTTTAAATAAATTTAATAGTTTAAGGATATTTGGCAGCAATGTTTTCTTATTTGTAATGTTTTGTATATATAAATATTTTAGTGAATTGGTTGATTACATTAATTGTTCAACTTTAATGATGAAAGAACTTGTGATTATCAAACTTGTCATCCCCCTTGGAACACAGCCTTTACTTAGAGGGGATTGTGTTAGTAACCAAATAGTAATGTTAGTAATGCAAATAAAGACCTGCAATAGAAGGAATTCAGTTTGTCATTTGTTGTCTGAGCAATACACATGTAAATGTTCTTGACTTATTTTCTGTCGTCATTGGTTATAGAGTGAAATTGGAGTTACTGTATACATGGGTAAAATTTTGAGCTGATTTGGTGGCAGGATATTCAGTATTTAGATAAAATATCAAGGAATATGAGTGGCCTTCAAAGTCTGCACTACATAAACAAATCTGGTCAGTGCACTTGTGTGGTTCTTGAAACATTTGGTTTGGGAAATCTAGCTCTCTTGTCACAGAGAGGCAGAGGAGATGAGCAGTTCAAAAACAAATACAGTAATCTATTTAAGTAGATGGAGGTTGGACTGCAAGTTTATGATGTAGCAGTAAAAGATATTTATCTTTGTTACAAGAGGGGCCAAAGATGCATGTTTAGATGTCATGATTGGTGGACTCGCACAAACATCAGCTGAAGAAACTTAGAAGTGAGGTGATTATTGTATTTTATGAGTGGAATAGGTTTTTCAGGATTAAGTCAATATTTGATATTTTGTTCCATGGACATTTTAGGTGAGCACTTTGCAGCTAGTTTAAGAAGCAGTGGAAATTCTTTTGGTGATTGTGTTGGAGTGTGGTAGTAATGCTGTTGAGTTTGGTTAGTCTTGTGAATAGACAGGTGCAACTCTGAACATTGTTAACATCTTAAATCATCATCATCATCATCTGGCAAATTCCTCCAACATTTCACAGTTGTGAAAATTGGTTATTTATCCTCTTATTAAAATGCATTAACTCTTCTTCACTTGTATGTCAACCAAACTTAACATGCACAATTATTTGGTGTATTGGTGTTCTCTCTTAACTTTAGTGTGAAAAGGTATATAGAAGTATGAACCTTCAAAATATGTACTGGATTTATCCATGTTTCACTTATATTTATATATAACGGCTAATTAAGTAATGATAAAAAGTACTATACAGGTACTATACAGGTATTTAAAAAATACTTGACAAATTTGATAATTTGATCATACAGTATTTATCGTACAAAATTATATATCATAAATAAAACCCCCCTCTAATTATTATTATTATTATTATTATTATTATTATTTATTATATTACAGTATTATTAAAATAGATGCTCGACTTTCCCACAGGACCAGTTAAACAACTGTCTCGACACAGCCAGATTTATCCAAGCGAGTCAGGAGAAGCACCGCCTGATAGACCACACAAGTGTCGCTACTGCCTGGCAGCTTTTAAAAAGTCCTCCCATCTGAAGCAGCATGAGAGAACACATACCGGAGAGAGGCCATTCAAGTGTGAGAACTGTAATAAGTAAGTTAAGACACATACATAAACATATGCACACACTATGCACAGTATATATCATGTGTTTTATGCAGAGTTGCCAAATAAACAGAATTCCCTTAACCTTTAGATGATAGCTAACATGATATGATGTACTCGGCTAGTTATGCTTGCGGGGGGTTGAGCTTTGACTCTTTGGTCCCACTTCTCAACTGTCAATCAACTGGTGTAAAGGTTGACTAGCATCCTGAACAGGGTTAGTAGCACTTGGAATGTAGGATTTAAACAAGAGAGAGGCTTCTGAAGACATGAGAGATGAGAAAGAATGGAATAAGTAAGGCTAAGGTTGGTGAAGGCTTAAGGGAAGGGAAGTGGGTAAGCAAGGCATCTAAGCTATGGCAGTTATGTCTTCCTCGTGTGTCACCCCATGAGTGAGACATTTAAAAATCTCGGTGTAGGTAACACACAGTAATTAAGAAATGTTTTTCTTCTCTATACTATACAATAAAATATATTTTCAATATTTTTCATGAGAATCATTTAAATTCATAATTTGCAATTTCTTTAGGTATTTTAACTCGCTAAGTGTCCTCAAGTCACATTTCAAAACACATACTGGACAAAGAAGTCACAGGTGTCCTATATGCAATGGCCTCTTTGCTACTAGTGGTAGCTTGAGAAGACATCGAACAACCCACTCGTCGGTAAGTTCCAGGTCTTTAACCATCTAACTTTTACTTGAGTTTCAGTTAACATGTGGCTTACAATAATTTCAGGGCATGTTTTACCTTGCAACGTTGGACAAAATTTTCAGTTAAATAATATATGAAAAGTAGACATTTCAATGACTGTCCTGCCAGTATTAGTTCAGTACATAAAATGTCAATGAAAGTTGAGCTAAAATTGTCATCATTGTAGTCAAACTATACTGTACTCACAAAAAATATATATTTTTAACAGATTTGATGAAAAGAGGAATGTACAAATTATTATATACTAAACAGAATTTTTGAACATGTATAATGTTTTCAATCATATGTCTGTCTTTAATATTTTTTTTATCCTCTCCAAAATATTTTTTGGTAATTTACTGTTTTGGGATACAGTATAGTACTATACTTTAACCACTGCACTGCCCACCTGGTTTTAGCAAAAACCTTTTAGTGCAATTGTCAAGGACATAATTTTGTTGTTTTAGAAATATTCAGGTAAAGTTTGTCAATGTTTCTAAACTCAGCTATGTCCATTTCAAAACACAAAGAGTAATGAAAACATTATAGAACATTAAAATGTAGCCTAATTAAAAAAAAAGCACAACTCTCAGAGTGCCTAAAACCTCTTTGCACAGTGCAGTGGTTAAATTTTTGTATGTAAAATTAGTAAAGAGTCAATATGGGTATTTCATATTAAATGACACAACTATATAGGAAAGTATTTAAATTAAATTTAAGTCAAAATGATCACTGAAGACATTTGCCCATAAACTGTTATACATGTGTGACAGCAAAATATTTCATTTTAAAGACGTACTTAATATGATTTGTGCTACCTGTCTTGTTTTCAGGATCGTCCGTATATGTGTCCTTATTGCCAAAAAACCTTTAAAACCAATACTAATTGTAAAAAGCACATGAAGACCCATAAACACGAGCTGGCCATGGAAGCAGTTAGGGCCGCTGGATCTAATTTACAGGGGGACAACCAACAAGCACTTCTTACGACCAGTCTCTACAGTCAGCAGAGTGCTGCTACAAATTTAACCGATGCAGAGGTCATAGTTCCTGATCTTACCGGCATGGCAAGTGTGTTCCATGAGGGCGATTTCTCTCTACCAAGTGAGCTTCAGCAACAGTCACAGCAGCAGCTGCAGCAAGATCATCAGGTACATCATTTGATGACTTCTTTAAACTTTAGATGGAATTTACAGAACAGTTTAAATGTAAGTAAGCGTACACGAGTGATATCTCTGAACAGTATAGAGTAGATAGTAAAGAGCCTTAAGGAGTTGCCTTTGCTCCAGTTTAATGGTTCTATTCTGGATTCTCGTGCAGTAATGCCACACACACACAACAGTAATCCACACAACAACAGCGCCACACATGGCAGTGCGCTCTCAGTTGAAGCACTGTATTTGCCAAGTCTTAGGGAATTACACCAGCCCCGAGACACACACACACATGCCTACCAGGAGTCAGGACCAGAATCTGGTGCTCTACAAGATGAGAGGTGATTAGGAATCGGAGATCAACCCAAAACCAATAAAAATTTCACCAGAAAGTCTAAGAGTATCTAACAAGCAACTGCTTCAATGAAAATATTGCCCCTAAAGAAAGCAAAGTAAACAAGGTTGTTATTAGGTAAACACCCAGGTTGTTATGTGTACCCAGCTGCAATTTGATGACAGCTCAGGTCATTTAGGATCCAAGGTTGGCGAACCTTGTTTACGAGCTGCCTGAACAGAAATCTCCACAACTACCATTAGGAAGAGGGGAATAGGACAGGACAGGCACTGGAAAGCTACCGAGTAACCCATTAGAAAAGGCTATGTTATTAATTTAAAAATAAGAAAATTCAGTAATGACATAATTTTGTTGAATTTTTATATTCTCCTTATGTTATTTTCTGCTACTGTATATATTAGGCCTAGGGCAAATTAGATTAGGTTGTACAGCTACTGTTACCACTTTTAGAATGCCCTTTGGAGTATTCCAATAGTTCAAGGCAAACTTTGTGGGGTACAACAGTCCAGTTGTGTATATACTACCAACAGTTGCTATAAGCACTAGAATTTTTGGAGGATGTGTTGGTTAATAATTAGTATACAAACACAAAATGTATGTGTGATTATACTGGTTAATACTAAAAGTAAACCGAATATATAGTCTCCGTTATTTTCCACAGGTCCTTCCAGCAGCATTTACACAAAGTGTTGGTGAGAGTGGTCTGACTCTAGCTGACCTTCAAACAAGGGTTGAGCATAGCTTAGCATCTGGAGAAACTGTCATCTTAGGCTCCCAGCCTGCTACCATCACCACACACCTGAATGGCTCATCAATACTTCTTCCTCACTCTTCAGGAGGGCAAGGTTCAACTGGATCCTCTATTCTTCTTCCCCATTCATCTTCCAGTATTGTTACCAGTGCTTCCTCTGTATTTCATGGAACTAGTAGCACTTCTGTTCTACAAGGTACCAGTGGCTCATCCATCCTGCTCCAAAGCTCATCTGGTAAGGGATCTGGTTCATCTGTATCCAGTCAGTTATCTCAGGATGATCGAGGAACTGCTATTCTAACTATCCCACATTCTTCAGGTAGTAATGTAATGACTGTCCACCAACCATCTGTGATACAGGGACCTGCTCGGGATGAGTCTGTCAGTGTTACCTCAGTCATACAGTCTCAACCCAGCATCATAAACCAGTCTGGTGGAACTCGTTATTCTACCTCTATTGCATCACGTCAGTCATTATTGGACCATGCTCAAGATTTCAGTTCCATGGGTGATACAGGAGGAATGGAAATGGTAAATTTGCCATCCTCAATGATTGGTGAAAACTCACAAAATGAATATGGCTCTGCAGTTCTGCAAACCAATCTCCAGCTTGAAGGCAGCAGAGGAGCTGTTATTAATCCATCAGATCAAGTGAACACTGGTAAGATTGGTTCACTGTTGGAAGGCTTAATTTATCTTGCTCTGATGTATGGGAGTGAAAAATTGTTGCATAATACTATTTTAAGGCATGAGAGTACAGGCATTTAGGTTCAATTTAATGCAGAATAACTGTAAAGTGAATATATAGAGAACTTATAATATGTGTAATGCAAAGATAAAGACATACTTAAGTGCTTTGATCGTAGAAAGAGAGAACGAATAACTACAAATTAACAAAGGAAGTGTGCATCAGTGGGCTGAAAGTGGAAAAAAAATTGTGAGAAGGAGGTAGAAAAACATTATATTATGTGTGAGTTAGAAGGATATCACTGTGAAGTTTTGCAGAGACAGGGATACCTGAATGAGATTGATACTGCCAATATGTTAGTATATAATACTGTATTACCACAACTGAATTTTGTAATTTCATGTAAAGATACCAGTTGCAAGGCTAGTAACTTTCTGTCAGTCAGGTAAAACTAATTGAAGTGTGGAGGGGTTTTCTGCCAAGTGTAAGTGTCATGGTTTTGTAAGTTCAGTTCTTAGAGGATATGACTACAGATACCAATTTTGTCAATTCAATTTTGTCAAATTTTGTCAATTTTGTATTTCACAGTAGAAAATAACAAGTATGAGAAGGTGTTTGCTGCAAGTCATATGTGATGCTGTAAAGCAAGATTCAATTTTTTTGTAGGCAGCTGCATACAGCTTATCTTGCTTTAAAATTAATATAGTCATAATAAATATAAATTAGCTTGGATTATTCATAAGTTTTTTTTGCTGTTTAATAATTAAACATTCTTTATTCCTCAATTAACAGAAGACACTAATCTGGCAGGAAAATCAGTGGGAGCATCGACTGGTGGCCTTGGAAGTGGGCTGGTGGAGAGTGATGATGAGGGTCGTATTGTTGCTAGTCACACTACCTCGGGTACTTGTACTAGTGATGCAACTAATGAAGCTGCCCCTACTACACTCCTTGAGGCCAGTTTTGACCATCAAGGCTTCTCTGATGGTTTTACTCTTCATGTACCTGTAAGTCTTTTGCATTTTATTTTGAATTTAAGTGTTATGTATTGTTCCGTGGAAAAATGTCAAATTTCATTGGTCTGAAGAAGATATGCCTAATTTTTCCCTCGGTTTTTATTCAAACCAAACCCCATGAATGTGATGACTCATAAACATAACTCCTTATAGTCCCTACTTATTAACTAAACATAGTTGCCATTGTTAGGAACCTAATTCATAAAAGAAAGCAAGCAAACTTACCTACTCTATGTCGTCTACAACCTTGTAGTGGTGCTGGAGAAAAGCGTCTCCTTTTTGACTGGTTGGTTAGGCTATCGGTGACCATAGCTCATAGGCCAACATTGATATTCTCATTTCAGATGCAGTGGATATCTTTTAAATCTGCAGGGCCATGAATGTGTGAAGGGGTATGCTGGCCAATTTTCATTTATCGGATATGACCTCTAGAAGGTTTATTTGTTGACAGTCAAAACATTACCTAAAAGTACATACTGTACTGTAGCTTCAAAGATATCGCCAATCATTGCTCTGCTGAGTTGCTAGTTGGCTGCATGGTTGCTACCCCAACTTGTCACCAGATGTCATCTTTTAACACTGTAAACAGAAGTGCCTGAGAATGCAACCTCGCTTTTGTGTGCTCTGGGCCTATGATTTTAATTTAAATTTACATTTGCATGTACACTGTACAGAAGAGTGTACAATGTTTTGGGTATCTCAAGTATATATTTGCTGTCAGATGTTGGAGCAGCACCTGTGTACTGTTTATGTATACTGTAGTTGTAACTGGGTTTTTCTTGTATTGAGTTAATCCTGACCTTTATTTTGGGAATTAGTCCCAGGCTGCACGCACAGTGCCAGGTTTGCTGGTCTCTGTCACCATTGTGTGTTAGCATGACATCTATCCTTTAGTGACTCCAGAATTGGGGCTCCATCTGGTTTAAGGCAATCTTAGCGCTGTATCATAACTTCAGTGGTTCATATGCTTCCTACTAGTCACCAGCTTTCCTAGGTCAGGCTGGGGTGACACCTTCATCTATTATGGTGCTGTAGATTCTCACTGTGGAGAACATATACTACACAGAATACTCTGTTCTCCTGGGGTGTTCACTGTACTGCTTTTTGTGGGATTGAACCTTGGTCAGATTTTGTTGTTCCATTACTGATTGTGGTTGCTTCAAAGTGCATCCTTACAACCTTTGTACCCTGTTCTCCTAGGGTTATATTTCATCCCTCGCCGTGGGAGTAGGCATGAATTGAGGAATAATGAGGATGACCACATATTTGTTTTATTCTTCTTGTGTGATGATATTTATTTATATTAGTTATATTTATTCATCAGTACTGTGATTTTTTCAATGTTCATTAATCTTGTTATAAAATTTGGGTATTAATTTTGATTTAACATATTCATTCACCATGATATGTAAAGGTTGATCCAGGAAATATTTGAATCGATTGGAAATTTCAAATTTGATATACTTTTAAATGATTTCTGGTACTGTACTTTTAGCTTATTTTATTTTCTCTGCAGCCTGGCATAGACTTGTCCAGCTTAGGACATGGTGGGGAAATACCTTCATCTCAATTGGTCCAACTACTTAACACACAAGAGTCCATTACAGAAGTTTCAACTATAAAAGTTACAACTGGTACTTCAACTGTTGCAGCCACTCCGTCACGCATTCAAGAACCTCCACCCCCCGAACCTGTTATCTCTCTCTCTAAAGTGTACGAGTAAGTAAAGATATTTACTTTGTTACTTTTTATTAAAATGGTATCCTACTTTTGCAGCATCACTGAGAGCACAATCTCAAACATGATAAATAATTAGAAAATTGTTGCATAAACAAATAGCATCATCTTGAACATGATAGCCATATCATCACTCAGGCAGGTAGGTTAAATATGGTCTGGTCAGTAACTAGATAGGTTAACCATGTTTAAATAGTCTTGTTCTTTCCTAAGGAGACATTAACAAGCCTTTGCTAGCTTCCTCTCCATTACCCAATATACGCACTAATTATGTGTTCAAAAAACTGTCTAACATATACTACTGTGTTTTGTTGTTTCCAGCCCAAATGAAACTGGTATTTATCCCTTTTGGTATGGCACTTACGCCTCTGCGCCATTCTTCCCTCGGATCAGTCAGGTTGGAGCTCAAGAAAAAACTAATTTACTCATGTTTACATACATTTAAGTAAAGTAAATTTCCAGCTTTTTTTTTGTCAGTGGCAACATTAGAAAAAGTAAAGTAAAGTGATATATTTTGTTATATCTCCATTTTGTAACAGAATATTGGGTAATTGGTAACTCAATCTCAGGCCACAAGTGTTCTCGGAATATAGTTGTTATTATATTTCTTAGAAGAAATGGGTATGTTCTTTCCTTATACTATATACTGTACTATAAAAAAATAATTGCAAACATTTATTAAATAGTTCAAAAATAAACTTATAAGCTAAATAAGTTACTTTCAATTTTTTAATAGAAACATGCCCGAAGTCACTAAATATTAGGCTACAAATGTTCCCAATGTATTAAACATTGTCATAAATTCAAGAGCTAAGCGTACCGGGCCCAAATTCATTTTGTGAAGGCCAGATGTCTAGATGAGCATTAACAAGGATTTTGATGTACTGTATTTTTGTGGCAAAATAAGAAAAATAATGCCCAATTTTTCCTTATACAGTATTGATTTGTTATTCTGTTAATGGCATGTGACCCTCTGTGACATGAGCTGCTACCTGGTGGTGACCTTTGGAGGTTGGTGTAAGGGTTTTTACCAATGTCTAACTATCAGTTGACCACATGTTGCCAATTGTTTCATTCAATGTGTCTTAAGAGTGTTTGATATCTTGGGTGACGTTCTAACTTCTACGTGGTTTGGTTTCAATAAGGTGGTTTTTAGACCCATGCATGTCACTCGGCCCTTTGAAAACACTACATTCTGGTTGTGTTGGAAGGCCGTTGAAAGTTGTCAGTGGTTTGACTGAATTAATGCCCTAGCTAAGGCCAGCCACTTAGGTATCTGTACATAAAGTTTCATTTCATTAAACACTTAATTTTTTCATAAAGCAAGCATTCCTGCTTAACATGACAAAAAAGGTTAAAGAACTCTTTCTTGTCTGCCTAGGTTGAGTAGTGCTGGCCATTGTAATGATCCATATGCTTTGTATCAGAGCTTATTGCACAATGGTTTATGAATATAGGGTTTCATTACCTGTGGATATAAATTTGTGAGAGTACTTGAATATCTTTTGCCTGTTTGATTTTACATGGGTTTTGATTGTTTTAAAGGTGTACTGATTGCAAGAAGACATTTCGTAAGCTGCCTCACTTACGGTCTCACCGAAGAATCCACAATCAGAGTAAAACACACTGTTCAATATGCAACAAAACTTGCTCATCATCTCATGAATTTAAGGTAAGTTGCTATCTTTCTATTGGTACTTCATGAGCATTTACAAAGTTGTATTTGTTCCTTGTCAAAAACAGGATTGTGTGTAGGGTTTCTATACATAATACATATGCATTTCATTGTATTTATAGTTATACCTCCATTATTTTTCTCATCTTAATGTAGAGAACCCCGAGGGTGGGCGTAGACTTTACTTGTAGATAAACTTTTAACTGTAAGGCTTTTATCAAATCTAACAGAAGACTAAATCAAATCTACACAAGGCTAGTGCAGTCACCTCATAAATGATTGGGTCCGAGTTCATTCCTTGGCAGGACAAGACATTTGGACATGTGTCCTTACACTTGCTGTGTTTGTTCAAGTAGCAGTAAATAGGTACACAGGAGTTACACAAACTGTTGTGGGTTGCATCTTGGGAGTAAGTTAGTTGTTGGCTCAGGGGAGCCGTCAATAAGCCTACCAGGCTTCATGTTCCCAACAGTGGGAAACTATAAATGTAAATGATGGGGGGTGGGAGGGGGGAAGTGAGGGGTGAAGATTGGGTGAAGCAAAGAAAATGAAGGCAAGAGGATGTCACAAATTTGAGGGATTGTGTGTCACTATCATTTTTAGGTACAGTATCAATTTAGCAAGAGGATAGTCATTCTGAATTTTCCTTAATTCTGTTCTAAGAGGATGTAGTATTTGATGGGTGCACAGTCTATACGCTATGTCCCATTAGTGTTTCCTAGATCTGCGTACACTACAGTATCTTCTGCATCGACTCACAAAAGTAGCCCAATCTGGCAACCCTGATCCTCTGTGTAAAATTATTAACAGATCAAGTGATATAAATATTCCTAGAAATATTTCCATTTTATGAAATTTTGAATCCTTATTAGGTCTGTGCTTAATTGTTCAAATTGTTACAAGCTTCTTTCTATCTATGCATTATACCCCTAATATTGAACTAGCCTTCTCAAGAATTATTCACATCTGCAGAGATACGTGAAAATTGTGTGTGGTTTTTCAGCTAGAGTGTCATTCTTCCTGACTGTGTTATGCTCGTGGTCATGAGACACAGTGGATCTTACCTAAGGGGAAATTTAGTGTCATGGATCACAAATTAGGGCAAATAGAATACTGTATGTACAAGCTATGACTTCTTTCTGGAAGATAAAATTATTATATCCAATTATCCTATATGTAATATAATGCTTTGAGGAGCTTGTTTTAATGTTTCAATTTACAATTAATGCCCAGCAGGTGATATACAACTCTAAATATGTAGTAAATTTTTAACATATTACTTTTATGCACTTGCAGGAGCATCAACGAGAACATGCACAAACATCGAATACTCACCAGTGTAATAACTGTTCTGAGAGGTTCCCAAATTTCAATCAGCTCCTGAAGCACATGCAAATTGAACATTCCAGGTACAGTTAATCTGTAATGCAGTGAATGGTCTTTACCTCCAAAGTTTATGCGAAAAAACTTGATCCTAGTAAAATGATCCTTCATGACGGGATACGGATGTCTCAAGTTCTTGTGCTGTAACATTATAATTTGTGATATGCTTGCCTTTATCAGTAAAAGCAATAACCATCAGTCCATTCATCTTATAGCTCATTTTATTTCAGCAAATTCATAATCCTATTGTTGATCAAACCACTCTTTAGAAAGTGAAGGGACAGCAACGTTTCGGTTGCCGTCCCGATTAGGTTTCAGAATCCTATTCCTTACTCTTCATAGTCTGAATTCACCCCTAACTTTAATGTTTTTAGTTACAAATAATTTTATGATCAGATCTGGTGTATGCCTGTAAACTTCTTTAACAGGCAATTTCATTACAGTACTAGGATGTATTGTTATATTCTGTGAAGAATACCTTGTACTGCATTTTTTAGCTTTTCCACTGTTGGCTCTCCTGACACATTCAAGAAATTTCTCTCATTATACATCTCCATTTATATTGTGTATGTTTTGGTCTATCACTATCTTTTTGTCAATACTTAGATAACTTTTATGTTGAAAGTCTACTTTACAAATTAGTATACACTTTACAAATTAGTATACATTGTCTTATTTAAACATGCTTGTTACTGCCATTTTAAAGTATAGTAGAGTATTCCTGTTTTTCAACTACATTATTTGGTAAGTGCTTCATTAATGTTTTATTATGCAGGCTTTCAACCATTGGTATTTGTACTTGTAGCAATTGAAGTTATGAAGACAATATTTAAAAATTAATAGTAATTCATATTTTGAAAGTAGAGCTGGTAGGTAGGGTAAGGTTTAAATACTGTTGATTAGCATTATATTTGTTGTAATCCCTTAAGATCATCAGTAATATGTTATCTGTTAACATATATTACAGTGTATGGCGGTGTCCTGTGTGTGGACATGTTTTTGAGTCTTCAACCAGATTCCAAAAGCATTTACGTTCCCATAACATAAATGCTATCAATGAAGCCATTACCAGAACTAAGGTAAGAACCATACTATGTCCTTTAGTTCAAAAAAAAAAAAAAAAAGTTTTACTCATTCACAATGTGACATTGACTCAGGAAAGTAGTTGGTTTATTTTATAAAAGTCTAATGAAATGTTTAAAGCATTCACAGAATCAAGATTACATGGTCAGTCAAATCTGAATACCAAAATATAATTTATATATACAGTAATTAATTAAGTAAATAGATTGAATGATGGAGTAGGTCTATATTTAAAATATGGATGTGTATTCACCGAATTCATAAATTTAACTAAAGATATGGTTGAAGTACTTGGAATTAGGGTAGAGAAAAAATAAGTTCATGTTCCAATGTACAAACCTCCAGATGCAATAATTTTGAAATTCATGAAACTGAAAACTGAAATATAGGAAATTCTTTGCAAAACATTTTCTTATGTATTTCACTGTACCTAGTTTAAGATGCATTAAACTGCACCATTAGGTGCAGTTAAATATGCTTAATTAACATTGAAAATGGATATTAAAAAAGAGCACACTAATTACTACATGTATTATGATATTTAAAATTGTAGTTATTACTCATTGTGACCTTAGTAATCTTGGTAATCTTATCTTAGTAAAATAAGATTACTATCTTACTCCCTGAATATGTTTTGTTTTTGGGCTTTACATTTGTCATATACACCACTAATCTGTAAGCCATGATATTCACTGAATTAATTTATGAAATACTGTACTAAATTGCAGCGTGAAGACATAAGTGTAGATGGGAAGGTTAAGGTAACCCTGAGTGCAGAAGAAATGGATGCTATTCTTCAACAGACAACAGGATCTCAGATTAATATGGAGGAAATCAATATAAAAGAAGATATAATAGACGATGTTCCCACGGCTAAGCAACACGACTCGCCTCAGGATGATGTTAGTCTCCAAGTTACTTTTGTAAAGGCCAGTGATGGAGAAGAGGTAAGTGTGCACTTTTTCCAAATGGCATTATCCCGCATTTGATAAATCATGTCGTAAACATATGCAGGCAATGAGTCACAATAACGTGGCTAAAGTATGTTAACCAGACCACACACTAGAAGGTGAAGGGACGGCGACATTTCGGTCCGTCCTGGATCATTCTCAAGTCGATTGTGATGAGGAAGTAGAGACAGGCAATAAATAGGCAAGAGAGAGGTGAGGAGCAAAGTAAAGTGTAGTAGAGGGGATAGTAGTAGGAATAAGAACTGCAGAGGGCCTATTGGCCCATACGAGGCAGCTCCTATTATAACCACCGAATGAGAAGGAGATAGTAATAGGAATAAGAAGAGGATAGCAAGGAAATGTAGGAGAAGACAATGAACAGAAAAAAGAGAGAAGAGAAAAAGAAAAGGAAAGATAAATGGAAGGATATGCTTATGTTAGGTTCAATTTTCATTGGTGTCCATCCAAGTGGTTGGACACCATTCCTTTTCCTCGTCCCATCCCAAATCCTTAGCCTGATTCCCTTCCAAGAGCTATATAGTCATAATGGCTTGGTGCTTTCTCCTCACAATTCCCTTCTCTTCCCTTCCTTAAAAAGGTTCAGTTTATAATTTTAGCAATAATTATTAGTTACTATATCTGTTATCCTAATAATTTATTTTGATGATAAAGTCTTCAAGATCATAGCACTAATCCATTCCATGCAAACAGGAATAAAATATACACATTTATTATAGATACGTACAGCATTTATTCTTTAATTTTTTTTTTCAGAATGATTCACAGAAGCATGCTCATCCATGCAAGACTTGTGGTAAAAGTTTCAAGAAACCATCAGATTTAGTACGTCACATTAGAACTCATACAGGGGAGCGGCCATTCTCTTGTGTTTTGTGTAGAAAATCTTTTGCTGTTAAGTCTACATTGGATGTACATATGAAAACTCATTCTGGGAAAAAGGACTTTATGTGCCACATTTGCAATACCATGTTTGCAACTAAAGGTAGCCTGAGCATACATATGAGGCTTCACACTGGTGATAAACCTTTTAATTGTAATCAGTGTGGAATGAAGTTCAGAACATCTGGTCATCGTAAGGCTCATGTTGTTAAGCACTTTAAAACAACTCAGCCTCTATCAAGCAAGAACTCAAGATTTGTAACTACTGATGAGGACCCATTAGAAACTGGAAACAATGCAGATGAGGCTGTAATGGAAATGTCAAATGAGGAAAGCCTTAATTCTGTGGTAATGATGACTGAAGGGACAGTGTCATTACAGTTACAAGGACTTAATCTCGGCACCATTGATCCTTCATCATTACTTAATATTCAACCTATGACATTGGATGAAAGTGTATTAAGTCAGTTACAAGCTTCTGGTGTTACCATGATGGGTGCTGGTGAAGGAACTGTTGATGAGGATGCTGAAGACTCCATCTCGGTGAATCCCAATGTGGTAATGACACAACCTCGAAGTGTCCGTACACCAAACACAGACACTGTAGATGATGATGATTTTGAAATTCATATGATTGATAGTGATGGAAGAGTCATTACAACACATTCACTGAACATGTTGGGTCAACATTTAGATAGAGATCCAGCAGCAACCCCTGATACAGCTTCTTTCATTCCACCAGAGCTCCATCTTTCAGATCTTGCCATCCCAGGACCAAACAACACTATACAGTGTGCTTTATGCTCAAAAGCATTTGATAAATTATCTGATTGGCAAGAGCATCTTATATCTCATAATATTTTTATAAAAGTAGGAGAGGACGGGGAAAATGTTGAGAACGAAACCCATGACTCTGTTGTTATTCCTGCAGCTTCACTTGGAGAGGTGCCTGATAATAATGCTTTTCAAACTGCAGATAATGAGAAAAATCACTCTGGCCTAAGTATTGGAGAAATAACTCTTTCTAAATTAGAACAAACTCAGTCCAATCGCAGCTTTAAGTGTAACATACCTGAATGCGGTAAAACGATTAAGCATGAAACCAGTCTTGAACAACATACAGCTAGTACTCACGTTAAACATCATGTATGTGCCAAGTGTGGTGGAGAAACCTTTCAATCAGCAGCAGCTCTTCAGAAACATATAAAAATGCATCACTCTGATGGAAAAGGAATCAGATGTGTGTTTTGTGTAGAGGAGTTCAGTGTACGTCCTGCATTACACCAACACATTATTCAGGAGCATTTGCAACTTGCTTTAGAGAATCCCTTAGCTATTGAGAAAGTGGGGCTCAAAATTAACCTGACTTCAGAATCACAGAGAGAGGGGACTGGGGCACATGGTACAATGGAAGACCTCGATCCCTTGGAGTTCTTTCCATCTGTAAATAATGGAGCTCATCTTGAATAACATTAAACATAAATTTAGGTCTTAGTAGTTTCTCATTTAAAAAATTATACTGTTATAATTTATACTTATGAATTTCTTCAGATCTAGTTAATCAAAATGTTATATTAATACACTTAAAATTAACAATAAAAATCCAGTACAGCGGGGGATGCCTCGACTTAAGATTTTAATCTTTTCCCAGTGATGGATCGTAAGTCAAAACAAATTTTCCCATAAGAAATAATGGGAATTGAATTAATCCGTTATACACCCCCAAAAATATTAACTTAAAAATACATTTTATACTGAATACAATTTTTTTCTCTAACTACAATACAGTACATATATTTATCTTACCTTTATCGAGGACTCTTGTTGGCATATGGAAGATGGTGAGGAGGGGGGAAGAAGAGAGGTGTTACTGTTTGGAAGTGGGAGTCCCCTTCCATTATAACATCAGGCAATGATGACTTTTCTGGGGTACACACACTCCTATGTTTTGCCTGCATACCACTAGGACCTGGTTGTGGTTCACTGCTTGTCTCACTAAAAATTTGTCCATGGAGATATGTTTATCCCTTCGTTCATCACAGTGTTGTTGAAAAGGTTAAGGCAACGGCCTTCTGCAGCTTGATTTGGGTGTGTCGTTTTTCTAACTTTTATCCGGTTATTCATTCCTCCATCCTTGCCCATTGGCAGGGTTGTTGGTCTTCTGTTGTTGATAACAAACTGCATACTCTTAAGCGTTGTGTCCCCGTGGCCTTCCTCCTGCCACCATAACCGGCGGTGGGAAATGGCTCTAGCGCAGTTGTGTCTCGGCCATACTTGCTTAACTCACGGTCACTTAATGGAGCGCCGCCCAGCTCCTTATTGTCCAAATTGCGTTGTCATTTTTACCGTCGTGCATAACCTTGTTGAATGTCCTGACATTCAGGACGAGCGTGTGACCTGCTTTCCGACTGCCCCTCGCAGCCACTTGTCCCTCGATAGAATTCTCGGTGAATCGGATACTTTTGATATCGTTCGCCTTTTGCGTTTCTGTTCTCGTATTGGCATCCTTGGTGATATTTAGCCCCCTCTGATTATTCCGCACATTTGATGGTGCTACATAGCCTTCCCGGTTTGGTGCCTTCTTTTTGATAATTACTTACTTACTTGGGTGTGTCGTTTCAGCAAATGTTTGCAGTTCTTCCCATGCTGCACACATTTTCTTAATTTTTGAGGAAATGACATTCTGCACTGCCTCTATAGTCATCCTCACATGTGTTTTCATATGTTGAACCTTACCACTGACTTTCTTGGCACCCATGGCGTGATATATAAAAATTACTTTTATGTTCAAAAAACAAAAAATCACCAAAATAATGGAATTTCTTGCAAGGGAGATCGTCACTAAGTGGGCGGCTCTGGTAAGCTGAGGCAGGTCAGCCCATGCCACCAGGAACCATGCGCTCGGTCGACCCGAACACGTATCAACGAATATCGTTAGTCGACAACACAATCCTAAGTCGAGTCGCATTTTCTGACCAAATTTAAATCGTAACTCGAAAATATTGTAAGTAGGGGCAATTGTAATCGAGGTGTCACTGTTTATTGTTATTAATTGTTTACATTTTGAGACAGTGCCTGAAAATAAATTTAGAATTATTTCTAATTTATCTCATTAATTAGTAAGTTTTTGTAACAAATTTAAAATAATATACAGTATTGCATATCATATAGTATTTTTTTAATTTTCTCATAAGTTTTAAATGGGAATTAAGCCTATTTCCAATTATGGATTAAGTACAAACTGGAATTGTAAATATAAATTAAGGAAGTGTAACATAACCAAAGTACTAACTAGGGTATATTCTGAAATCGGTGTGAACATGTTATCAACAAAGCTTTTAAAGCAATTAAGCTTGATGTAACTGTTATTTTCTTTGAAATTTTCAATACCTAAATATCTTGTTAAATTTTTGTATCATGAATTTATATTTATATATTATATATTGTAAACAATATGCAGTTAAGCATTATGTGCATGTATCTATTTATTGTCAGTTTTTAATGCATTAATTGCATTTTTACATTTTAGAAGTGTGATATTGTTATAAGATATATAATTTGTAATAAAATCAAGATGTCTTGATGTTTAGCTAGCTCAGCCATTACTTATGTTGTATGTATGTGTGAGCTGGAGCTAACATTACTTACATTACACTATACTTAGCATATCTGTCATGTGATGATGTATGCTACAATATTTAATTGACCATATTTATTAATGAATGTGTACGCTTTAGCTGCCATGTGCAAGCCACCACCATGACCTGACACACTAGTACAGTACAACCATTTCTTGACATGCCTTAAGTACAACTTGTATATAGTGTGTATGCCAAAAGCATAACGTTTAGCATACTTGCCCTGAGTACAATTAGTGTTTGAAATGCCTAAAGTTTGGTCATTGTTTTATTATAAGAATTTGTAGAAGCAAACGTCACAATTGTATATACAGTACTCAAATTTTATGTTTAGTGTTAACAGTATGCAAATTCTATTTATTTTTGTATTCAAATGATATTATTTAATCTCTAAGAGGACTAAATGACTTAGTGTATATACGTGTATCTAGTCAAATATAATTTCTGATTAGGTTAAATGTTACTTGTTACTTTATTGAGAAGGGTTTTGTAGTATGTGTAAGAGTTCATACATTATAATTCTACAGGAAAACTTTGTCTCTTCTTTGAACAAAATACTGTATCAAATCCTGGTAAAAATGATTATATGATTATTTTGTATTTAATTTCACTATATCATTCAGAGTGATGTGAACAAAACATACAAAGGCATTCCCTGTTTAGTGGAGGAAATCATCACTAGAAACAGAACTGCTAATCATATCACTGTTATATGGAATCATTATAGCATACCTGCTTCAGATGCATTACCCTCGCATCGTAATTTATGACCATCGGCCAACATATTAGGGGTTCATTGGGTTACTGGAACAATAAAACTAATGAGAGAGAAAGATGTTATAAATACATTCACTATACTTTCTTGTTCTTTGCATAAAAAAATACGTTTGTTCAAACATTAATTTATGAGTGAGAGAAAGACTGGGTTTGTTCAAACAAATCTGTCAAGTATTAGTACTTTAGTGCCCATCTCCTTCTGTCTTTCATTCAGAGGAAAGTGGAGAGGGTGGGTAATTACTTATTAAGTGTAGTACCATTTGTGTACTAGTTGTGCATGGAGGCCTGCACTTGCCTGCTTCCATTCACCTGGAAATAATTTGCACAGGAAGTTGCAAATCCTGGAGGGCAACACACTTCTTTAGTGGAAAAATAGGGGTCAGGAGTATCATCACAAGTGCACATGTGTTAATCAGTGCTGTTAGATTGTGACAAAATCTCATTCAGAAATTCTGAATAAATTTTGTCTTGAGTTAAAAGACAGAGGTTGATTAAAAAAAAAAAGAAAAAAATTCCCCTGAGGGTGAGTTTATTGAGTTTTATTGTCCACTCCTACTGCAAGTGGACATAATGCCATAGCAGCACGTACAACACCGCCCCAACAGGAGGAAGACCCACTGGGTTCATCCTGTCACTTGTACCCATACATAGCTGGGACTTGCTAAACTGTCTCAAGTGAACAGCTTTTCAAACAAGATTATTAACATTGCCAACCCTTAAAATCTTACGTTATCTTGCGAATGCAAAATGTGGGAATCTCATAGGGGCTGGGTGCACAAAAATATTCGTCCAAATATGAAATAGTGAAAACTGTTAAATAAATCTCACGTTATTTGGCATCAGCATCATGAAAATTTCATCCCGATGTGTTAAGAGATGGATTTTATACGAATTAAAATAAAAATGTGCAACCAGTACTGATAACACCACCTAATTAGTGGAACTCATGGATAATGCAGTGATTAAGAGATGCAAGCACCTGTCCAACTCACAAAGAAGAGTAGTAGTAGTTAAGAAGGGTCCACAAAGTGGATTTTTGCTATTACTGATTCTCTCCTGCAGCCACCTCATCTTCATCCATATTGATTAGGGTTGCCAGCTGCAACCATGTTGTACCAGCGTACATATTCACTGATTTGTTCTTCTATTCTCCTTTCCTCAGTTACCTTGTCACGATGATATTGCCTGATAATACCTCTAATTTGTAGAAGAGTCTTGGGAATGAAGTATTCAATATGGTCTCCTTCAGCAGCCAGCACATCTCATTCATTTCCACAGATTCCAACTTGGGAGGGAATCCACAGAAATTTGACGACTCTTCCCTGATTGGTTAGTACTCTCACAACTCTCTTGATTTCAGTGACTATAGCAAGGTTTTCTGCCCGATTATACTACTTTGTATCATTTTTATTTAAAAATATACAAACAAAATATACATCATACAGTACAGTATTGTATTTACGTTGGATAGTTTTACGTCAAAATGTGATGTACTGTATTACTTGAGAGGACAGTTTGGTCATATGTGGCATTCTGCATAGAAGAGAAGTTTGCAGTGAATGGATATCTTTTCTTGATACTTAGAAAAACCTCTTTGACAGATTTCACATGTATACGTAGGATGAGGGGCATCTTTCTAGACTGGGGGTGGCAGCCTTAACTAATGCAGTAGAGGAGAGCCATTTGTTCCTGTTGTTATACCACAGGAACTGTTCCCTACTTATTTATATAGGGAGTGAGGAGATAGATGCTGCATCACCCCACGTGTATTTTAATTCTTCAGGCTTACCACTGAGGTCTTTGTGTGAAACAGGTCATGTTCTACATCTTTTAGCTAATTATATTTTACCCACATTTAATTGCAGATGTTTCTTTTCCATTGAAACTAGTAAAGTCTAGCTAAAGCCTTTCTCTCTCTCTCCTTAATCTTCCTTTCCTTGGGGAAGTTATGAAACATTCTTGATATCTGCCAGAGGGATATCTCATATACTGTACTCTTTACTCATATTCCATACATCATTCTCACGGTAGTACAGTTGAGTTCATTCTCGATTCACACGGGAAATCTGGGTTCGAATTCCAGGCCACACAGAAATGGTTAGGTGCATTTCATATCACCTAATGCATCTGTTCACCTAGTAGTAAATAGGTACGCAGGAGCTGGTCAGCTTGTTGTGTGGCTGGCCCACTAAGTGTTGCTTGTTTCTGTTTTATTTAGGCAGACTGTGAGTATTTATGACTCGTATGGTCACTTCGGTAAGATTTTGTCCCATGTGTTTAACAATTTCTTCTGCTCTGTTGAATCGAAGTTGAAATGTTATTGGGTTTGTAACTGTGCACTGTGTTAGATAATGTTCCAGTGGTCTGTCAGGTATTTCTCCACAGTGCTGACATTTCCTCTCATCTTCTGGAACCTGTAAGCCTATTTCCCATGCACATGGTATCCAAGCCTGATGCGATGTAAGTGTACTTTTGTTCTACTGCTCCCACTTCGGTAGTGACCCAGATAGAAGGTTAAGGATTGTATGGTCATTGTGTTAATGCTATAAAGTGGAGAGATGGATTGCATTCTTTAGAGAAATACTGAGAGTAGAGGAGTCCTCTCTGCAGGATACGGGGACTCCCTCTCTACCTGGGAGTTAGACAGCTGCTACGGGCTGCTTCCTGGGGGTGGAGACCTGGTCGAGGACCGGGCCGCGGGGACACTAAGCCCCGAAATCATCTCAAGATAACCTCAAGATAGGACACAGGGTAGACTAGTCCTGTCTGCAGGATACAGGGTAGACTAGACCTCTCTGCAGGACACAGGGTAGACTAGACCTCTCTGCAGGACACAGGGTACCCTAGTCCTCTCAGGAGGGCACTGGGTACACTAGTCCTCTCTGCAGGATACAGGGTAGACTAGTCCTCTCAGCAGGACACAGGGTAGACTAGACCTCTCTGCAGGACACAGGGTACCCTTGTCCTCTCAGGAGGGCACTGGGTACACTAGTCCTCTCAGCAGGACACAGGGTACACTAGTCCTCGCAGGACATGGGTTGATTAGTCCTCTCAGCTAGTGCTTTTGTGTGCTTGATATTTTAAGAACATAAGAATAAAGGCAACTGCAAAAGGCCTATTGGCCCATACGAGGCAGCTCCTATTTATAACCACCCAATCCCACTCATATACATGTCCAACCCACAACAGTGTGTTTGAGTGTTATATGAACTGACCTCATTGACATGTGATAAATAAGACCAAGAAGAAACTAATTAGTTAAATCTTTATTTACATCTTTGCAAGAATATGTAATATTCATTATGTACTAATTTAAGTTACACACATCTATGTATATTACAAACACCTGTGCATGTACCCACAATTTTTTGTATAAAAGTTAAGTACTGTACTCTAAACTGCCAACATGATTAAAAGTCAAATATTTTGTATAATATAACATCCTCTACAGTATTAATAACTTCTGTAAACCTGAATAAATCCTTTTGGAAATGCAGGACAATTCGGGAGACAAGTTGTAGCAACACCAAACTTTATTTGAATATGTGGACTGATGCTGCACTGCAACTTTATCAATATACAGTACATTCTTAGCTCTATACTAAATTGAAAATAACAATTTTGAAAGACTTTCAACATTTGACAAAAATGTGTATACTTTCCCTATAATGATAAATTATTTGGTGTTCTCAACCTTGTGTTAAGCAAGAGTGATGTTGCCAAATACAGTAGCATACAGGACAAAATTGTCTCAAAACTCAATTTATTGAAACAAAATAAACTACAGTTATACTTTCCACAGATATTGTAAGATCTAAAACGATTTGCATATATAAACTTTAATGTATATTCATATGTTCAGTATGCATGCATGTAAGATTATGTGTACTGCATTTCTACTATATGTATATATAATATCTGTTTGCTATTATGACCATTATAAAGAAAATAATTATTATTGTCATTCACAGGCGAGTGATGAATGCACTTATGACAGGTGTGACAACAAAATTTGAGAGGCCTTTGCAAGTTTCTTAGGGGGAGACAATTAAGGAATATTATATTTAAATATGTTCTGTGTGAAAAGGTTTTCCTGATTAGCCAAGATTTATTTAATATCAATATAGAAAAGATATCTACACGAAGAAAATGTTGTAAATTGATATATTAAGATATATACTATATGTCTAAAGACTTAGTGTAGGAATATGCAGATGCAAAGAAGCCAGTGCTAAGATATATTTTATATCAAGAGATTGACAGTATGGAAATAGTAAAGAAATTATATAATGTTGTATAATAGATAACAAAGCTGTGAAAACTTAAATATTTTATATGTGAAATATACAGTCAAGGAAAGCAGCACATAAATGACGGAGCGCAATAAAGAGAGATCTAAATAGAGGCTGCTGTTCATTTCCTCAAAACTTGAGAGGAAACACTGTCTAAATACATGTTACAGAAAACACAGGAATAGTTTTAAAAACAGACTTGGATTAAATAACTCTGGAACTTTGAAAGGAATTGGAAATTGTGTTGAAGAACTAAACAAGGAGTATAACTGGTTTGTAGTTCTCCAAAGAGAGTTGATAAAAAGAGCACTGAGATTTAGCTCATTAAGAAAGATCAGCGGGCCACTACAGCTGCCATCACAAGTGCCACCAAGATGGAGAGCGCTGGTGTGAATGTGCTCGACCCTCCTCCAGCACCAACCTTTGAAGACCTGTAAACATGAACACAAAATCAGCTTGATATCTTAAATGCAGAATGCAACGAAGTCATATTCACCAATGCTGTGCTTGCATTCATATATTATGGTTACAAGCTTTTGTGCTACTGAAATAAGGTGAAGGTGAAGCACCTCATTTATGGGGCCAACAGGTCCATTGCGACTTACCAATCTCCCATGTTTCCATGAGTGGGGTGAGCCAAAGCTCGCCCCACTAGCTTACACAGTACTAATACCACACCACCAGCAACTGCTTATAAGTGTTGGTTATTCTTGGAACTCTTCTGCTTCCACATGAGTTCCATGTCCAACCAACACCCAGCAACTATGGTGATGCATCTTTAGTACAGTTTTTCATCATATTCCAGTGCATGCTGGAGGTTGCATTGAGCCTACATATGTAAGACAAAACTTGGATATTATACAAGGAGGGGTACCGGGAAGTGCATAAGGTAATCTATTTCCACCCCAATTCCACCACCTTTTCTTTCTCTCCACACATCTTCCCTCTCCCCTTGCTAGATAGTCTCCCCAGCTTGGTGCCTTCTTTTGATAATTACTTGCTTTCTCTTCCCCTCTTTCCTCCTTTCACCCTTCTCCCCATCTGCCCCTCTTCTCTCTCCACCCCCCTCTCCTATCTTTTTCTCTGTCTGGCCACCCAGCTGCACCCGAGTTTCTTTTCCCCTCTTCTCTATTTTTCACCCCATCTTCCCACTTCATCCTCCCCCCTCTCCTCATCTCAGAAAATGTATTATTACACACTGACACAACTGTATTTACTATTTATCTACAGAATTGAGGTATTAGCTCTTGGACCCTGCCTTTCTTACCAATCTATTTTTCCCTCTTATATCTACTACATATATTTCTTTCTTAACACACGCACGTGCTCACACATTCCCAGGAAGCAGCCTGTAGTACAGTCTTACCTCCCAGGTACCTATTTACTGCTAGGTGAACAGGCATATCAGGGTGAAAGAAACTGCTCATTAGTTTCCACCTCAGCCGGGAATCGAGCCCGGGCTATTAGGACTACGACCCCCAAGTGCTGTCTACTCAGCCACGAGACTTCCCTCCCCGAGGTATGGTCTCAGAAAATACATGATCACAAACAAAATCTACAGGAATCATAACAAATATTTCACATTTGACTCATGAAAATTTGTGTAAACAAAATATATCACGGGTGACTGCCCCAGAAATTTGGTTTACTAGTACATTATGTTTGTCACAGAGGCTCGTGCATCCTAAATAGAAGAAGAGAAGACAAGAACCCCCTCCTTACCTGCTACTGTCAGTATTATATTTGTAGTTATTGAGATCATTGTCCACATCCAAGTCAATTTTACCATCATCATCATCCAAGTCAATTTTATCATCGTGATCAGTGTCATCGTGATCAATATCCACAGGCTTAGTCGGAATTGGTAGAATTGGTCTCGATGGTTGAGTGGGTCTCGTTGGTGAAACTGGTGGCAAGACTGGCGGTGAGACAGGCGGTGAGACTGGTGGCGAGACTGGCGGCGAGACTGGTGGTGAGACTGGCTTGGGTAGGGCAGGAGTGGCCTGAGGGCGCTTATCAGCATTGAGAGCGAGGGCACCATTGATGGCGCGCAGGAGTGGGAACCTATAAAAGGAAATGTTTACTTGAGGCTAGTGGCCAGCCCTGTATTATATCTACACTGTTCTTCAGAGAGATCTCGAGTAATAATACTTGATCTCAAGTAGGAATAAGCAATGAATAGTAGTAGGAATAATTACTTGAGCATAATTATTAGTAGGAATAATACTTGAGAGATCTTAAGTAGAAATAAGCAATTTTCCTTGTAAAATGCTTCTATGAAATCTTCATATGATAAATTAATTGTTCTGTATGTTTCATAATGTATAGATATTATAAAATGTTATAATATTAATCATCTTTATTAGAGCTGCCAAAATGATGAGCACCAACTGTTTGTATTAAGAGTTAAGGAAATGCACAGTCATTACAACTAGAATTAATTTATACATAATTGTGTATCCCTACATTTGCTGTATCTAATGATACAGATTCTCCCTCCCAGAAACATGACCTCTCTCCTACTTCTCATTGTTTCTTTTACAAATGCTCTTTTTTCATTGTGCCTTTAAACTCACTTCAGTTATACCATAGATTATCTCGGTTATACCATAGATTTCTAAACAATATATTTGGTACTCCACATAACCATATAACACATTGTGCCTGCTATGTTATTGAAAACTATCATAAGCTATGTAAGTTGTGATATTTCCATCATATTTCATCATTCCTCTCACTCTTCATATTTCCTTCATACATAATTCACAAAATCATTGATCTCAAACAGTTTCACTATAGTGGGCAACCTTTTAATTCTCGACACGTCCCTATATCAGAGTAGTAGTGTGTGTGTGTTGCTGTTGAAGGAGGAGCTGTTTGTTCCACACACCAACACAATGAGAAAAATTGTAAGCCCCGCCACCGAAACCATAAATGCCAAGGCATTACTTCAGCTAAAAATTCAGATAGAAAAAAATCCTCAGGAACAATGGGTGAACCCTTAACAAGTTGCTGGCTTCATGCCCCCATCGAGGCCACTAAAGAGATAATCAATGAGAAGCACTGCGAACATCAACACAATGACGTAAGGAGCTACACCAAACATCAATATGATGAAAACAATACAAATAATGACATAATGAAAACTACACCAAACATCAACACAATAAGACAAACAAAAAAGAAACACACTAACATTAACACAATAATAAGCCCTGCAAACATCATCACATTGAGAAACACATCAAACAGGAACATAATAAGAAGCCCTACAAAGTGTAGAACTGTAGACACCGTATTCAGAATAAGAATCGTGACGGTGAAATACTGTATGTTGTCACTATTCCCAGGAGTTCACGGCCATTTAGTGCGTGTTGTTTATATACCTGATGTTCTTCGGCGAGCAGACACCTGTGAAGTCATCAGTGTCTATGGACCAGATCATGATGCCCCCGAGGCCAAGACTCTGAGCATAAGCAACCTTCAGGGCCAGAGAAACGTCATCATCGTAACCAACCCACATGTTGTCACGGAACATATAAGGCGCCTGGTGGGACTTCTGCCATACAATGTTCCACGCCCCAGCCTCGGCCCTTTGTTTCTCGCAGATCTGTAACGAGATTTGGAGAATGAATCATTTTGTTTAATATTTTGTCACACTAAATAAATCTAATTTGTCAAGGAAATTAAAGTATTCATATATAAAGTATGTTAAATGCTCATGTACCTCATTGTAGCCAAGGAAGCCGTCTTCCCTGGTGTAGGGCCCAGCAAAGGCAGTGGAGAGCGATGGGGCATCGATGCCAGAGTTGGAGGGATCGCTAAGAAGGAAGGTCCTCCCGTAGAAGCCAACACCAAGCACTAGCTTGTGTGCCGGGGCTCCTAACTTCAGGTAAAGCTTCACTGTGGCATCCTGTCAACACAATAATGAAAGTAACCTCTGATATTTAAGTGCTCGGTTATGCAATTATATCCATATAAATTTTCCAGTGCTGAGAATCAAATACAAATTGTTTATGGTGAGAATTTGTGAGGTGTGACTGAGAGAGACACTTACTACATTAAGAACCTGGTCATCATCAGATTCATCGTCTCTATAATACAACGGAGCATTGAGCCCAGTCTTTCCATCCCACTTGCCGTGATAATCGTAAGCCATGATGTGGATATAATCTAGTTCGTCGACCAAGTCATCAACGTCATAAGCTGTTTCAATTGTAGATTTTCCTGCAGCCATGGCAGCCGTGAGCATCCAGCCATATTTGTTGAATTCCTTACGCAGCTCCTGTGAGGTTAGTGTTGAGGGTGAACATTTGTATTACATGATCTGCCCAATGATTTGTTTGATGAAAACAATCATCAATTATTTAAACTTGATTGGTACTTTAATCTCATTTATATGTCAATCTTTGTTTAATCAGATTAAAATATGAAATTATTATATAAAACACAATGAATTTCGTTCTCATTTACAGCATTTGACCCAATGAGATTTGTTGACTATTTTGTAAAAATCACATATTAATAAAAATGTGTTGTCATCAGACAACACAGAAGTTTATACAAAACATATTAACTGCCAGAAAAAAATTTATTTTCTGTTAATACTATGTTTTAAAAGAAATGGGGCATTGACCAGCATACCTTGACCAGTTCAACAAAGTTTTCCTTGTCCTCTGGAACACCTCCTCTGTTGGCCGGGTATTCCCAATCTAAGTCGAGACCATCCAGCTTGTGAGTTCTGAAACAATCCAACATAGTCACCTAAAGCGTCCAAATATTTTTGGAAGGCTGTGCAGTCGGTTTCCCATTGTCAAAAGTCGGAAGCCTGTTAGGTGTACCGAGGTCCCCATAGGGCCAACGGCTGATCCTGTCCATGATGCCACCCACAACAATTCATTAACAAACATATGTGAGCAAACAATGAAAACTGTTCTACTATGCATTTACTGTGCAAGTGTGAAGGCAGTTGAGAAACATTATAAAATTCAAGAATACAAATAATATTTGTAACAAAAATTTATGAAGTATTTTCTATTAAAAATAAGCAATATTCATACATTCAAATGCAAATTATAATTAACATTTATTACAAAACAAATAGTGTCTAATTTTAAGATTTGTTAACATATAAAAAATATTTATTTTTTATTTGCTTACTGGATGAATTGAACAGCTGAGTTGATGAAGGCTTTCCTGCTTGTTTCAGTTTTAGCCATAGCTGAGTACTTGGTGGAACCTTCCGTCCAGCCTCCAATAGCCACTAGCACCTTCAGTCGTGGGTTCAGACTCTTCATATTGACGAACCTTTCAAGAGCCTCTGTAATACATAGTTTGGGTAAATAAAGGTGTCAGTGGACAGTTAAGTAAGAATGTTCTCTTGTTTATGACTGGGATATCTGATAGGAATTTCAGTTTGATTCTGAGCTGAGAATGTTTGTTCTTTGTGCTCAAGATAAATGTAATGTAGAGTAAAATATCCGTCAATTTGTATTGTAAACCCAAATTAATTTTTGTGGTTTAGATATTTTTTCCTGCCTCTAGGTTATGAGTGTATTTCATTTTTAAATTCAGCTTCCAAATCACTCTATAACGAAACAGCGGCTGTTTCTCTCACGCCTTTGCCACCCAAGAGCTCCCTTTTAATCCAGGTAAGTGCATCTTCTAGATGTTGGAGCTCTACTTCCTGGGTCAGAATATCAGCCACGGTACTGTATTTGCCCATTTGAGTTCAAAATTATTTCCTCAAAGGATTATCGCATTCCACTGTACTGAAGAAGCTGGTGTTCTTGGGTGTCGTTAAGGTTGTATCACCTGCACTAGCGTTAGCAGTTGCCCAGGAATTTCCTGATGTGGTCACCGAAGGCTAAAGCAACATTCAAGTATATCATGCAGGAGTTAGCTGAAGTCACTCTCCTCACTCATTCCACTTGTGGAAGGAGTTTCTGTAAGCCATGCACATCTGCACAACACCTATCCACCCTCAGGCCAACAAGATGGGGGAAAAAGCTTCTACCACCAACTGAAGGTAGATGCGATTATGATTCTTTTTGGAATCAGATCAGCGGCAAAGGTCAGAGAGCTCTCAGCAGCTGATCTTGCATACATTACAGATCTCCACCTTCCCAGTAGAATGTTCCATATTGACTGACTTTCACCCTCCTGGGCTATGTTGAACTCTGTAAATGCTATATGAATACTGGAACACTTGATGATATATTGGACTTATACCCAAGATTGACTATGTAATGCATCAGTTATACAATGTGATATATTTATAAACCAAAGCTTGTAAAAGCATCTTAATCACCTTCAATGGTTAGATGTGATAACACACTAGTTTATATAGCAGCTACCTTACCCTGTCAAAGTAGGAGACATAAATGTATGTGTATATGTATGTATATGTATACAGGATATGGGGAAGCTGATCAGAATTGCATTTTACCTTTGTAAATGCACATTCATGACATTGTGTCATCTAACTGGGGTCGTAGGGTGGGAGGTCGCACAGGATCGTCCGTCGTCGTAGGATCAGGTTGTGGTGCGGCTGGTAACTGGGGTTGTAGGGTGGGAGGTCGTACAGGATCGTCCGTTGTCGTAGGTGGCGGTGCTGCTGGTAACTGTGGTCGAAAAGTGAACTGCGTAGTCGGCGGATGTGTCTCTGGATTTAGCAGTGTTGCAGACGTTGAGACGAAGCCTGGAGCAGAGCAGAGAGCTGAGTGAGGCCGGAGTCGTGGAGCTCTATGTGGGAGAGCGTGGCGGCTCGATTGAGAATTGTGAGTGTCTAAACTCGGGGAGCGAGAGCGTGGCAGCTCGATTGAGAATTGTGAGTGTCTAAACTCGGGGAGCGAGAGCGTGGCGGCTCGATGCGGTCGTAGTCTGCTGTCTGCTCTGTGTCGAAGCTGTAGTGTCTTGGGTTGATTAGGACTGTACACGCCGAGTACTACATTGTTGACTGTGGAAATTGTAGTCTGGTACTAAAAGATGTAGGCAGTGTGTGGACAAGCTCGGTGTAGCAGGAGAGAAGAATGTGCATAATTGTTGCGTCCTTGGGTCGCTGGTGGAGCATTTAGATCCGGGGCGGATGGGCTCGGGCACCAGGACATTAGGAGGTAATGTAGGCACGTAGTTAGGACAACGAGGGAATCACTGCTAGAGGTGAATTGTCCTGGAGGCGACGAAGAGTCGGAAACGCAAGCTGTAAGTCCTGTACTGCGCAAAGGGCTTGAGACGGCAAAGTATCAAAATGCAGTGAACGTGTAGATGAATCTGACGAAAGAGCAGCTTTCGTGGGCGCCCCTGTAGAACAAGCAGTGCCCTGGCAGCGACGGAGAGTGTATATATATATATATATATATATATATATATATATATATATATATATATATATATATATATATATATATATATATTTAAGGTGGATAGGTGTCTGCCTTGCTATTATAATAATATAATATATAATTATAATATATAATTAATATATAATATATTGCTATATTAATAATAATAATAATAATATATTGCCACTTTCAATGAATACTATTAGACTAATTAAGGTGGTTGGATAGATGTCTCTGGGTGGCTCGCAACTGTAATGTTTACGTTTTCGAAAGTTTGAGAACACGCGCCAGTCAGCTGTGGTCCGTAATGGGAGGTGGACCCTCCTTCATTTATTTATTTGTGTTATAGCCCGTCGACCGTCAGTTGCCGCCACCAATAATTATAACAAGCTACGCAGAGGATTACTCTAGAAGCAACCAGCAGCATCACCTCATTCCTCCATATAACCGGTAATAATGTATTAGTTGTGTACATTTGACCAAAGGTAGACCTGTACCCCTACGAATGTTTATTTGCATTTGATTGGGAATAAAACTGCTAGCACGTATGAAGGTAGTTCTGCTTCTACAGTGTACTGATTGATATATATTAGAATAGGACATTTATAAAATCTATTTTGTTATTCGCTGTATCAGCCAAGACAAGCCTAAGTCATCACAACTTGTGCCGTGACCATATTAATGCTAATTAGTATAAATAGTAAGAAAGGATAATTTGCATTCTATAGAAAGATGCATACGAATGGATGAAAGGGTTTAACAGAGGGATAATAATGTGTTAAATATATCAACACGAAACAATGGGTTAACATTGTTTTAAAAAATGCTATTGACATTGGAGTGCTGGAATATATATTTAATGAGGGAATAAATAAGAGCTACCTCGCATGGGCCGACAAGCTGCCTGCATTATTTTATGTTTGTCTTTCATATTCTAATATTCTTGTGCTCTTATATCAAGAATATTATAGCCTGTATCCTTGTATCTCGTGACGTATCCTTGTGGTACGTCACGAGAGCTCACTCCGGTCCCGTACATGTAAATAACGTAAATCAAACTCGCACTAAACTTTGAATGCAAGAAACTGGTTCTATATCCATGTTAATGTGTGGCACCAAACACACACATCTGAAATATAGGAAGTGACGACGTTTCGCCGCCACTTCCGCTCTAGCTCTTCCTAAATTTTGAGATATGTGAGTTTGGTGTGTAATTTCAGCGCCGTTATTGTGACTTGGTGTCTGTCCATGTTAATATTAATTAAGATAATGCAGTAAAGGTTAGAGCCAGCATCGTGGGACGGCGGACGAGGCAGCATGTCGAGCCACAAACCACCTCTTGCAAATACCAAATTGAATTATTTTAAACTAGATCTTTGTGAACTGTAAGGAATTAACTCTTAAAAAGTTAAACAACATAATTATTTCCACAAATATGAACATGAAAGTCATAAATTAAAAGAAAACGGGGTTGAATGAGAGCATGCAGTGAAGAGCATGACCTCCACGGGTGCCTGCATGGACCTGCAACACACGCATGCTCATGCAATCCAAGGGATGGATACAAGGAGTGCAAAGGAAAGAATATATTTTAAGATGAGTTAAACATCTATAAAAGAAACAACAAAAACTGTGTACAAGAGCAAGTATGCACACATGAATAACAACGCTGCAATCATTCAGCATACAATCATTCAGCATGCAATCATTCCTGCATAGTGACAATATTAGGAAATGAATAAATAGGATAATTTTAAATTAGATAATTGTGAATTAAGTGTTAGAGACTGAAATTACAATATTAAGCTAAAAGATATCCTGCAAAGAATAAGTTTATGAATAACATGGAGACGAGGCGAGTAGGTGTTGGCGAAAGGAAACTGGAAGTCCAGTGGAACAGCATGGAGGTAATATCTTGGCTGCCAGGTGACAAGAAAAGTATTTGTTTAAGCTGCTTATTGAGAGTATACACACGCTGCAGAAATTCTCATCTCAATAATATACTCACTTTTGTTAATGTCGTATTCGACATCAAGAGACGTGATAGAGAAGTTGGTCTCATTGAGGCCAACGAAGGAGTAGATGAGGGAGGTACAGAGAGTTGGGTCGATGTTTTCTATGTCGAACTTGCCCGCTCCCGGTCTGTAGACCGCCCATGACCCCAAGTAGCACACAACTTGCTGGTTGTGCTGGGCCTCTACCCCGCCTGTAATCACAAAACTCAATGTCATTCAAACAAAATTGTAAAATATCGAATAATAAAACAAAAACTGGCAATAAAATATTAACCGTCATGTGGAAGAGGCTACAAAGCGCACTAAGATATACTATAAGATGCATAATATTGTCATTAACTCTTAACTTATTCCCATTCACGAAACATGTAGAAGTCATCAGGAAAATGCCTAATTACATGACATTGGCCTTTTCATTTATTTCTTGCACGTTTATCCCGGCTTAGTACCTTCTTTTGATAATTACTTACTTGCATGTTGATGATAAAAAATGAAAGATTATGGCTGTAATTTAACAAATACGATACTACTATATATATAAAACATGGTTTAAAGACAGGGTAGCCACTGAACAGCAGTGAGCCACAAATTTGACATACTAATGATAATACCGGCTCTAGTTCAAGTATGTTTATTGAGGCAAGAAAGAAATACATCTCAAGTATGTTTATTGAGACAAGAAAGAAATACATCTCAAAGGGATAGAGTAGCTTAGGCTATTTCTACCCCCCCCCCCACCCCCTAGTATTATTTGCAGGCTTTGCAAAACATCATTTTCAGACCATTTCTAGAATGTGTCAAGATTCCTTTGCAGGCTGGGTAGCACAATAATCCTTAGTTCTGGTTCTCATTAGTGTTTCATCAGCGAACATTAACACAAAGGTGTTTATTAACCGTTAGGTCGTTGACATATACGTGAGCGTAATTAACATGAGCACACCGTAATCATTTTTGTGTGGTGTGCACAGTACATGCGTCGCACTGCTGTTGTAAACTCCAGTGGGGATTTGTCACCTGCACAAACTCTTACTGTGGTCCCAGGCTCCTCAAGGTCTCATTCACTTCACTCCTCATACTTAACATAATTGCCTTAATGTTGAGAAATAGTAAAGATTACATTCATTATCGCTTGGCAAAACATGGCGACAACTTCCTACCGTGGGAGGCGTGTAAGCAGCTGGGATTGGTAGTGTGATATCAGTAGGCTGCCAGTACAGCCCGTCCTCTACAGTTAGTTTTTCGGGGATATTCCTGAGCGGACCCTAAGCCTCTGACTGACCCACTAAGTGTTACTCGTTCGTCGTTTGTGTCCTGCTTAGACGGTGTATGAGTATTTATGACTCGTATGTTTGCTTCAGTAAGATTATGCCCAATGTGTTCAACAACTTCTGTTATGTTGAATATTGGTTGAAATCTTATTTGGTTTGCAACTGCACTGTGTTAGATAATGTCCCAGTGGTTTGTCGGGCATTTTTCCACAGTGCTGACATTTCCTGTCATCTTCTGGAACATGTAAGCCTATTTCCCATGCACATGGGTATTCAAGCCTGATGTGATGTAAGTGCACTTCTGTTGTTCTGCCTTTTCATCACAATAAGTGGTTTGTAGTTGGTTGAAATCTTGTACCAACCCGCAGATCCCGATGTTGCAGCTGCTGTGTTGTGGCCACTGAACATATTCTGCATTGCTCTATTTCTAATGTCTTGCTTAATCTCTTCTAGAGTTGTCACGTCACAAAAAAAAATGTACTAAATTGCCCGAACCTAACCTAACCTGACCTAACCTAACCGAGGACTCACGCACAGAAAATGTGACGTAGTGGTGAAGTCAGTAAGTAGGCTGCTGTTAACCTTGACATTAGTGTTGACCTTTGTCTGCTCTAATAACACCTCTGGGAACTTAACTGCACTCCACTCCTGAGCCTGACCTTGAGGCCCCTTTTCGTCATATATGATTGCCCAAGCTCTTCAACAACCCAGTTTAATAGATGGGATGGTCTGAGATGAACCTTGGGAGAGATTTTTTTTAAATATTAAAACAATCGACAATATTTTAACTCGAATATTATTTAAGCTACACAAATATAATTTATATTACGTAGGGTTTCAAAGTATGTGGAGCATCCTATTATATAAATTTTTATTGTAGGGAAGTGGGTTACTACAAGGGTTTCAATTATTACTCTTACTTATTTCCGAGATAAAATAATTTCCGAGTATTAGTCTGATGCTATCAGGCCGTTGCCGATCTCGCCAATATTGCTCCAGATGCAAGATATTGTACATTATTACAGTAACAAAATTTGTAATATTTATACCTCTTAAAATTCCAGCCCTTCGGTTCTAACTAGCGTGGCACATGTAATATTTTTTTAGACAAATAGGGGCATACAGCCTAGCTAGCGCACGATAGGCATATTGTGTACGTAAATACCAATTTGTGGAGCCCGTTCTTAGGGGTCAAGTGATTAGAACGAGACACCAATCCTCAAACTACCAGGATAGTTATCTAGATATTTGTGATGGTCTGAAAGCATATTACGGTTCCAACAACAGCCTACTTGTAAACTGGCAGGTGAACCTTTGTCCCAAACAGAAAAATGGTCTCAAGTTATAACTTTATTATATTATAAATCGTTGTTTAAAATATAAAGTCTGAGTGACTCGTTTTCTTGGAAACGGACTGAAGAACCTTGTTTTGTGTAAATCAATTTTTCGGGAATATTCAAATAGTTTTCGAATTTCATATTTCACATGTTCGAGAATAAATACACCATATTAACGTAATGAAACCTAACCTAACCATCAATAGGGAGTTGATAATAGCACTAATTACGTAGGGGTTTATAAATGATTACCTCCAGGGTACATGTCCCTGGGGATATGTTGTGACTCTTGTAGTACATCTCTTATGTTACAGTATTTGCTATCAGGTTAAACAAAATGCTAGAACTATCTAACAGTTCATTATTCTTATATATTTACAAACATAATTCGAAAACGGCGTTGGTTGAACCCCTTGCATGACGTCATTGTAAGGAGCCTACGTGAATACTGACTTTAAATTATTTATGTTGGTAAGATGTTTCATACGTTTACAGCGTCGATTAAAGAGAAGCAAGTGTATCCCTGAGTAGAGGGTAGTCAGATTCAGGTGAGATTCGGTTGTTCGTAAGAGTCAGGATCGGGTGATTCCCCTCAAGAAGTCTGTGGCTAATATGAGGAAGGTGAAAGGTGGGATCAGTGAGGATAGGAGGCACGGGGTCAGCGTGAAGGTTCTGTGATCAGCTCGGGGCACGGCAGAGTTCCGTCTTACTTCTGACATTTGGAACTCACTATTGTGCCCTGACAACGGTTGTCAAGGTGAGCCGGCCTGCGTGTGCACATGCCAGTTGTCATCTGTATTCCTCTATATATCTGTGTATGTGAATGCGTGATCGTGAAATGTGTTTATGAGTGATTTATGTGTGCATGAGAATACCTTGTGTCTGCTTGTGGAGTACTCTATGAACTCAAAACTCTGCTGACCCGAATCCTGCCTTAGTTTCTCTGAAATGTCACATATACCTGCACACCTCCAACACCACACCCTCCCACTCTCACCCAGCCCCCACCACCACACCCTCCCACACTCACGCACCTCCACCCCCGCCACTACACCTCAACACCCTTTCCATAAGGAAGAGGGTGTGAAGTCAATACAGATGTTAGTGCGTGCTTGAGAGTGAGAGTGCTTGAGAAATACTGTCAGTTCCGACACCTTAGATCCTACATGTACTGTACGTCATTGTTATCTTTGGTTGGTCTTTTTCTCATTGTTGTCTGTCTCGCAAGTTGTGTCTGGATGCTTCATTAGCTTTGTGTACTGTTTACCTTCTACATCATTACATGTCTCTATGTTTTGTATATTTATCTCTTTCTGTCTGTTTCTCACTTCTGTTCCTCTCCCTCCCGTTCACTGTTTACCGGAGTTTAAACGACCGCCGGTACACGCCCGGATGACGGCGGCGTGAGGGGCGACAAGGGGGCAACGCACTACAATGAAATCAACACAAATTCAGTATAAAAAGTACCATACTACAACATATACATAATACAGTTGCTCGACACATTCCAGTACAGAACAACAAAAAACAATACAAATCAGAGTGAGAATTACAGCAGAATACTTAAGAGAAAAGTGCAAGCACATACATCTAAGCCTATTACATCCCGCGAACAAAGGCTGCCGTTGCCACATCTATTTTCCTACTAAATAGGCGAGGCTTTTCGCCCCCCCCCCTATCCTATCACCCCCCCCACCCCCCAACTTCTCCCCCACACCTCCCCACACTCGAGGTCCAAAGGTCATAAACTCGAGGTCAACCTATTGCGTCACATATTCTGCCGGTCTCTTATATTTCTGTTCATAAGCCGAACACGGTTACTTTGTTCAACAAGGATTTGTTCAATGTTACTAATGTGTGCCTGCGTATACCCCTTACTGTGCTTGCTGAGGCTGGGTTTCAGTTCATGGGTCCTGGCTCACGAGCATTAATCATACGGAGAGATGCCTCATGATATACAGTGGTTGAATGAACCAGTGTAGGTTGACCTTCCAGAGCTTCCTTCTAAAGTGTGACTCACTCCCACACTGACCATCCTCCCCTAGTGTGACTAACTCCCACACTGACCATCCTCCCCTAGTGTGACTCACTCCCACACTGACTATCCTCCCCTAGTGTGACTCACTCCCACACTGACCATCCTCCCCTAGTGTGACTCACTCCCACACTGACCATCCTCCCCTAGTGTGACTCACTCCCACACTGACCATCCTCCCCTAGTGTGACTCACTCCCACACTGACCATCCTCCCCTAGTGTGACTCACTCCAGAATCAGAACTGAGGAGGACTGCAATACATTACAAGATGACCTAGAGGCGGTCTGAGAAATGGCTACTAGACGTTTACCCTGACAAATGCAGAGATATGAGAGTAGGAGTTGGAGCAAGAAGACTTCAAATACAGTACAGGATGAAGGGAAGGCAACTTTCAACCACTTAAAAAGCGAGACTTAGAAGTGGACATAACTTGGGATCTAACACCAGAGTCACACATCAACATAGTAACGAGGGCAGCATATCCCACACTGTATTGGCAAACGTCCAGTTGTCTTTCAGGAACCTTAAGCAAGATCCCTTCCGAGGACT